TAAGAGCCAGCTCTAGCTGTGTGGTGGTGGCCCACGTCTTTAATCCCAGCACTCAGGAGGCAGAGGCAGGGGGATCTCTGAGTTCTAGACCAGCCTAGTCTACAGAGTGATTCCAGGACAGCCAGGGATACACAGAGAAACCCTGGCTCAAAAAAAAAAAAAAAAGTAAAAAACCCCAAAAGACAAACAAACAAAAAAGAACCAGCTATATTGCCATAGTATATTAGTTATTGACATGTATGTAGTATTCCTGGGGAGTTAATACCACATTTTATATAGGTTGAAATTTTCTGAGTTTGCCCCCACTTGCCACTTCTACCAATATCCTATATGCATTCTCATATGGACCAATGTGATACTTTCTTTTTGGAAAACATATCCAGGAGTGAAATTGCTGTATTTTCTGCGTGGTTAATTTAACTGAGCTCTGTAAGGCTGCTTTCCAAAATGGTTCTCCGTATCTACATTCCAGGCAAGGAGGCTCTAGCTCTACATTCCAGCAAGCAAACATGAAGGTTTGGGTGTTCTTTGGCATTATTTACTATTTTGAGTGCATATCTATTGGGAGTAATAGCTATTTATCATCTTGTTTGAATTCTTTGATAGCTAATGAATGTAAGAATTTCTTAGTCTAGTTCTCTCTCTCTCTCTCTCTCTCTCTCTCTCAAGACAAGTCTTATAGCTGGCCTCAAACTTGCTGTGTAGCCAAGTACAACCTGATCTTCTTGCCTCCCTCCTTTACTTGCTAAGATTATAGGTTTCATCCTTGGCTATATTTGTCTTTTTCTTGCTCTCCTGGCTTCTTTGTATTACACAAGCTGTGTAAAATATATATTCTAGATGTTAATAATCCCTTTTAGTTTTATACATAGCAGAATCCTTTCTAAACTATCATCTGTGCTTTTGTTTTAGTTTTTATGAAATCAGACTTATCTTAGAAATCATGGGGCATGGTTGTACACATCTTTAATCCCAACATTTAGGATTAAAGCTACATAGTGAGATCCTGTCTCAAAACCCAAACCCCAACTCCAACCCCAAGTCCCAAACAGCAAACAACAAACCAAAAAATTACAGGTACTGAGCTGGTAGTATATATTATTATATTGTGAATTCCTGATTTCACTGGTTCTAATTCTCTCTCTCTCTCTCTCTCTCTCTCTCACACACACACACACACACACACACACACACACACACACTGACTTATCTTCTCTCCCATCCATACAAGTTGGGTCTTTGGAACTTAAGTTCCTTTATGTCAAGTCATAGAAGTTTTCCATATAAATTATAGAACAAATTTATCAAGTAAACAAAACAAAAACACATAACCCTCCCCCATATTTTGGTTAGTTTTTAAAAAACATGCGTACATGTGGTCTCATGCTTATCTGTATACATGTGACTCAACAAACAAGATCCCAGAATTTCATGTGTGGGGTGTAGTGGGAGCTGTGGGCCTGCTTTTCGTCCCGCCCTGCTCCCGCATGGCTAGCTTTACACCAGAAATAACAACACACAAACTGTATTCTTTTAAACACTGCTTGGCCCATTAACTCTAGCCCTTACAGGCTAATTCTCATATCCCAATCAACCCATCTCTAATAATCTGTGTAGCATCAGTCTTACCGGGAAAGATTCAGCATATCTGACCTGGCAGCTTGCTTCATGGCGGCTGCCCAGGAGAGGGGAGCATGGCCTATGAGCTCACTTCCTCTTCCTCCCAGCATTCTGTTCTGTTTACTCCTCCCACCTATGTTTTAACCTGTGAGGCCAAGCAGTTTCTTTATTACTTAACCAATGACCTTCCTCCATCAGTGGGGACTGAATTATTTTATGGGAGTGAAATGTCTTTTAAGACTGAAAAAAAAAATAAAGCTCATATTTCTTGATTGAAATGTGAGTACAGTAGAGACCCCATTGAAAAATACCATTTCTGCTCCCCACCCATCCCGGTCCCTACGCCCGGAAGGATGTTTTTGTGTAGCTCAATCAGTCTGGAACCTGCTCTGTAGGCCAGGCTGGCTTCTAACTCAGAGATTTGCCTGCTTCTGCCTCCTGATTGCTGAGACTAAAGGTGCATGTCTCCATGCCTGGCTTCAAGTATTTGCATGAAAATGAAGGCAATCTGCACAGTTTGATTTACTACATGTATGCACTTGCTCAGTGGCCGAGCTATACAGAGAAAGACATGTAAATAATAGAATAATGATTGATTCTTTGCCTGGTGCCAAAAGCCATGTCTTATTATCTGTGGAAAAGATTGCACTTTTTTCCCCTAGGAAGTCTGAGTATCATTCTTAGAGAAATTCCACATGGGTGATCTTTCTCCTAATGTCACACCCTGTGCTCATATGGTCTCATTCTAGGGTGAATTACAACTTTATCAATCGGGGATATAGATAAGGTTTTTGGTCCTCATTTTTCTCATTTGGAATATGTTTTAGTTGTTTTCACAGACTGTTGTTTTCGTTCTACGAGATTGATGTTCATTTCCAAACCTGAAAATAAGCCACTTCTTTAGACTTAGAAACTGCTTTTTTAATAGCTTTGGCCTTGTTAATAGAAAGCCTTTAGAGTTAGTGATAATAGTAGTATGATAGTAGGAATAATTAACAAATTTTTATTTTATATCAAGCTTAGATGTCTCATTTAATGACATGTTACTTCAGAGGTTCAGCTGTTAACACACAGTCTTTTATAAACAGTTTTGTTGATGAATGCAGGGATGATATTTTTCCATTTTACTGAACTGGGGAAGACTTATCTAAAATCCTGTAGCTGCTTAGAGAATCTGAGACTAAAACCCAGATGACTTGCCTTTTGTCACCTTGCCATTTTTAGTGTAATCATACCAGAGTCAGTATTTACTAGTTGATGGGACATTGACATTGGGAGATTGCCAAAGTGGTACTACATCTGAATTTGCTTTTATTATAACCTGGAATGACTGGGCTATTTCTTATCATTTGTTAGATAGGCTTAATTCCGCCTTACTTTTTCTTTGTATTTTCATGAAGTGATTTCTTTTGGTTGGCTCACGGGATCTTAACTTTGTTCTTAGAAAGTGTTTTATCACTTTCAGTGAATATAGCCAAATATGGTGGCACATGTGTAAATCCCAGCATTTGGGAGAGAGAGGTAGCAGGTCAGGAATTTGAGGTAGCTACATAGTGAGTTTGGGCTGCTTGAGACCTTTGTTTTTGTCTGTAGAAACAAAACAAGTTTATTATCTACGCTAGGTTTTTTTTTTGTTTTTTTTTTTTTCAGGTTATGAAAGTGCCCTTCCTGAAGAGGACTAAGATTGGATCTCACTAGTAGAGTATGCTTGGTATAGTGGGATTTATTTTAGAGGCCACACTGGTAGAGCTCGTGATCCAAATAGACAGGTGGTTGTTTTCAGTGAGAAGAAGTGTCAGATAATATTGAGATTTGGAGTTTGCATTTCTGGAAAGGACATTGTCATTCACAGAAATAGGGAAGTGAAACAATACAGCAAGATTGTTTTTGAAAATTAGATTGAGAAGCTGTTGGGTATTCTGGGAGAAGATGTCAGGTGGGTAGTTTGAAACTTGGGCCTTAGATTCGTGTCTTCAGTAACCAGTAGGTTATTGTTGACTATAGAAAGTAATTTCTGAAGAGTGACAGAAGAGGAAACTGTATCAGGAAGGTGAGGAATCTGCATGTTGGAGGTGAGAAGGGGGCCATGGGAAGTAGATTGGGGTATTACTGAGCATACACTCTGTTGGTGCTCTGTTACTACTTACTGTTGCTTGCCTACAGAAGGAAGGGTTGCAATGAGTCCATTGTGGTGGGGAGGCGTGGCAGCAAGTGACAGGCATTGCTGCAGGAGCCACAAGCAGGATGCAGAGAAAGGAGTATGACTGTGTACTCTCAAAGCCCATCCCCAGTGACATACTAGCTGCAGCAAGGCAGCCTCTCCTAAAGCTCCCCTAACAGCACCACCAAGTGTTCAAATGCCTGAGGTTTTTAGTACATTTTACATTCACATCGTCATAGGTACATGGACAAGGAAAGAACCCCCAGCCTTAGGAGGAACTTGAGGTGCTTCCAACAGAAGACATTTGCACAGGATTAGGTTAATCACTTGTAGAGTGAAGAGGATGAGAAGGACTTGGTACTAAAGTAGAGCAGAGGTCGAATCAGCAGATGCTGGAGGTGCTGAAAAGATGAGGTTTGGTGTGGGCTCATTCCAGTCAGCCTCCTTTGTGACCGTCCAATAGTTCTTAGAAACTAGACCATAAGGTTGGGAAGGGCTGGAATTGGGGCCTTTCCTGAGTGCATGGGAGAGGTGAGAAGCTTGAGGGTGGTAGGAGGTTATTTCATAGACAGAGCAGAGATGAGTGAGGAAAATCCTGTGGTGTGGCAGTAGGTGGATAGGTGATGGTGGAAGCTAATGCTTTAAAGGTCAGGTTGGAATTGTCAGCGTTTTCAACTGTAAAAGCTTTACAGAATTAACAAGAGTTCTGAGGATGTCTGCAGCCTGGCCTAGGTTTATTCCCCTTAAACATTGTTGACTTTCTCTGAACTTTGAAGCAGAAGTAACTAAGCCTATAGGTGAATCTCTGCGTTTGAGGCCAGCTTGGTCTACAGAGTGAGTTCCATGACAGCCAGGGCTACACAGAGAAAACCCGTCTCAAAAAAACCAAAACAAACAAACAAACAAACAACCCCCCTCAAAAAAAACAAAAACCCAAAACAAAACCAAACAAGGAAGCAGCAAATTTTCTAATGCTGTAGTAACTAAGTTCATAAGATCTACTTACTCTATATTGTGAGTTATGAATTACTCTGAATTTCCCCTTCATGTATCCTTTATCTCTCCTAATCCTTTTCTCCCTGCTTCTTACCTTTTTCCCTCTTTGTGGTGCTGGGGCAAACACAGTGGTCTTACACATGAGTCTACCACTTACCTACATCCCCTACATAGCTTTCTTTTTCATTTTTTGAAGTCAATTTTTACTTTCTTTAAAGGAGAGATGAAGAAAACCCTGAAGGATGAGATTGAAGCCATTCTTAAGAAGAGGATTATGGTGCTAGATGGTGGAATGGGGACCATGATCCAGCAGTACAAACTGAATGAAGAAAGTTTCCAAGGTCAAGAATTTAAAGATCACACCAGGCCGCTGAAAGGCAACAATGACATCTTAAGTATAACTCAACCTGATATTATTTACCAAATTCATAAGGTGAGTTATTTCCAGGCTCTTAAGCATTCGTTCAGGTTATTTCATGTATCAGGCTCAGACTGTCATGACTTGTACTCTAGAGAATATGGGAAAAGGATGTGATTTATTAAAAAAGCAGGTATTTCACACCAGGTAAGTTACACTCTGTGTTAGTTGGTCAGTTGGGATAAGCAGATGACAGAGGGAGGTTGGTTTTTTGTTTTGGCCTTTGTAGCATTTAGACTTTAGTTAAAAAGCCATAAATCCTGAAACAAATTAGGAGTCTCATGTTTGCTTATTAATACCCTGTGAAGATACACTGGAAGATGGTGTCTAAGTTTGTGTTGCTATAGAAATTCACAGATGACTCAAGCAACAACATTCCTTCCTTCCTATCTATCTATCTATCTATCTATCTATCTATCTATCTGGCTCAGAGAGAGGGTACAGTGCATTGTGGCAGAAAGGTATGGTAGTGTTTATGGTGGAGGGAGCAGTTAATTGTTACATGACATTGATCATGTTACTGTGTGCTGATCAGGGAGCAGAGAGACTGGGTAGTACCCTCCTTCCTCCAGGTTGGCCCACTTCCTAAGGGTTCTGCAACCTCCTGAAACAGTGCTACCAGTTGGGACCAAGTCCTTAAACATGAGTCTAAGTACATTTTGCATTCAGATCATAGCAATATGCTTTACACCCTGTGCTTTCCTATTCAGTGGTGCTTTGGTGGCCTCCCCATGTCATAGACATACACGGTGGCTTTTTAGGTGCCATATGACATGTAATAAAGTTACTTTAGTTATCTCTCTCTCTTTTTTTTAAATTTATTTATTTATTAAAGATTTCTGTCTCTTCCCCGCCACCGCCTCCCATTTCCTTCCCCCTCCCCAATTAAGTCCCCCCCCAGCCCGAAAAGCAATCAGGGTTCCCTGTCCTGTGGGAAGTCCAAGGAACCCCCACCTCCATCCAGGTCTAGTAAGTTGGGCATCCAAACTGCCTAGGCTCCCACAAAGCCAGTGCGTGCAGTAGGATCAGAAACCCATTGCCATTGTTCTTGAGTTCTCAGTAGTCCTCATTGTCCGCTATGTTCAGCGAGTCCGGTTTTATCCCAGGCTTTTCCAGACCCAGGACATTGAGCCTATAATTAGGGATCCTAGAGAAGCTAAATAAGGAGAAACCAAAGAAAAACATATAGGCATCCTCCTGAATATTAACCTTCAGCAAGCGATGAAAGGAGACAGAGACAGAGACCCACATTGGAGCACAGGACTGAAATCTCAAGGTCCAATCAGGAGCACGAGCAAGGAACTCAGGACTGCGAGGGGTGCACCCACACACTAAGACAATGGGGATGTTCTACTGGGAACTCACCAAGACCAGTTATCTCTCTCTTGATGACCACTATTATAAATGTGCTCATCTTGGCTTTCATTTTCAGTTCTGCAAACATCAGCTTAGGAAAGACTAAGTTTGTTCACTGTTAGAAAATAAAGAAGCCCATACTGGGTCAGACTGAGATGGAGATGTTGTCCAGAAAGAGAAACTAGGAAGGCAGGTTAAACAGGCAGAGTGGTATGGTATTAAGTTCTCAGTGTTCCAGGTAGGTTGCAAATATAGGAATAGGAGGTGCAGACCGAAAAAAACATACCCAGAATTTGATTTCTTAGGGGCAGTGCAGTTCTCAGTGCATATCAGTTATGTTAAAGTACCAAGATGTGGAGAACAGAGCTGGTGGCTCCTGAGTGCCCAGGGTGTGCCAGCCACTTGAAGTCCTGGCTGATATTACCGTATAGACTGTTGGCAGAAAATGGTGTTAATACTTTAGATGAGGAGTTCAATACTCAGAAACTTTAAGGAACTTGACAGGCAGGATTCTAGTTATTGCCTAGCCACTGCCCCTTGAAGTTTGTATGTTTTTTCCCTTAAAAACAGCAGCAGCAACAAAACCCCAAAAATTAAAACAAAAAAACCAGAATTTAAGGAATGTAACTAAACTTACATAACTTAATGTATTATTTTTGTTTGAATTTATGTGCTGGTCTTACGTATGTCTTTCTGTGAAATCCTTCTACCTGCTTGCATCTCTAGTCTTGAGGGTATTGTCTTTTATGTTTGGTGACAAAATGAAAAGATGTGTTTATTATTGGGGCCATGGACTCTCAAGTTCACAGTAGCTGACTTACTCTATTTTGTTGCAGGAATACTTGCTGGCTGGAGCAGATATCATTGAAACAAACACTTTCAGCAGCACTTGTATTGCCCAAGCTGACTATGGCCTTGAACACTTGGTGAGACTTTTCTGTCTAATATGCTTATGGCGTATTAGTATCTATTGCACTGGAGATTGCTAGTGACTGAACCGCTTGAAGTGGCTGTCATTCTAATCCTAATTCTCAGGGATCATGGCTGGAACCTCTTCTGCTTATTAGGGTAGCAGCCCATCATTGCAGCTGGCTTTTGGGGGCAAGTAATAGTCAACTAACAGGATCCTTTGGTAAAGGCAGGATCACTGACTGTGAACCTGTACATGGAAGTAAATGGCTGTGGCTGTTCCAGTGCAGAAATGGACAACTAGATGGGCTGTGAGCCACAGTGCACCCAATCCTGTTTTCAGGATATTCTGGTTTGTTAATTGCACAATTTGAGGTGCCAAAGTGGTTAAAGGACTTGATGCAGATCACAAATCTAGGAACACTTGTTGATGTATGAACAGCTTCTGAAGGGTCCCATCACTTGTAGACTGCTTTGCATATGTGAGTCATTTTCATATGAAATTATTATTTTGTTTGCATATATATCTGTGTACTTATGAGTGTGCTTGGTGCCTGTGGAAGCCAGAAGAGGGTATTGGGTCTCCTGGAACTGGATTAGCAGGTGATTGTAAACTACCATGTGCATGCTGGGAATTGAACTCAGGTCCTCTAGAAGAGCATTCAATGCTCTTAATTAGTGGTCCATCTCTCCAGGCCGCTTTATTGTATTTTTTTCTTCCAGAGACAGGGTATCTCTGTGTAGTTCTGGAACTCATGTCATATACCAGGCTGTCCTTGAATTCAGAGATCTGCCTGCCCCCCCCCCCCCCCCCCAGTGCTGGGATTAAAGGCATGTGCCACCACTACTGACAGGATTTTTAAGGTGTTAATAATGCACAGAAAGTTTAGAACTGCTTCTTCCCATCATCGTCCAGTAATAAAATCAGGGCCAAGAAAATCTGCCATGAGAACTGCACTCTTAATCTTAGGTTTCCTCTCTTGAATGTTGCTTTTCCCATTCGAATACTTTTTCCTCTTATTTTTTTTCAAGACAGCATATCAAGACAGCCTTGGCAAACTTTTAAATTCACCCTCTTAGCTTTCCCCAGTGCTAAGATTATAGGCTACCACATCTGAGTTAAAATATTTTATCAGTTTGTGGACTATTTGCTATATCAACTTATTTGACCTTGTAGATGTGCAGATATCAGCCTTACAGTGGATAGTTTCACTCAGACGAGTTCAACTAAGAATTAGCTAGTTACAGATACCTTGCTGAATGGAGGAAAAGCAGGGCAGACTAACTTCAGTGGTTGATATGTTAGGCCTACCGGATGAACAAGTGCTCTGCAGATGTGGCCAGAAGAGCTGCTGAGGAGATAACTCTGCAGACAGGTAAGGGATATTCTCTTTCTTTGTGGCACACACACAAGTTCTTTGATGTTCTCAACTCTGATGTGCAGTTTTCCTTCACATCATGTTTGGCTTGGGAGCAGATAATCTACTTGTTCGCAGGGTACTTCCCATCGTACCATAGAGAAGCATTCAGTGTCTCTGAAGTGACACTGTCCCTGTGGACCTCCGGTTCAGGGTTTTCTCTTTTACCCTGATGATGCTCATAGCCTGACTTGGTAGCTAGGCACATCACTGGGTTATTAAATAGCAACTGGCTGGTTTGATTTTGATTATTATTTGAGTATTTGATCTTATCCTTCAAAAGCTGCCTTATTCTCCATGCCTGACTTACTTAAGCAGTGATTGCCTTTTGAGCATTTTCTCATGAAGACTACTGATGACCCAATTGCTCTTCCTGGCTGACAGAAGGATATAGCATTTGATTTCATCTTGCTGGGACTAAAGTGGTTCTTGAAATAACCAGCCTCTGGCTAGCTGCCATCAGAACGCTGCTAGTGGGAGGCTTTGAGACAGGGAAAGCAGTAGAAGAAATATATTGAGCCCTGAAAGATTTGGAAGTGTGCAGTCATTGCCAGCAGGAACGATGGGAAGAAATTGTTAGGAAGTAACTGACAGCATACTAATGAAGAAGACCAAAGCAGTTTACAAGGAAATCTGTTTCTGAGAGATGTTTAAGTTCATGGACTTGCAGAGCCCGTTACCGCAACAGAGAGGTGGTACCTGTCAACGCTATTATTCAGCACTGGGAAAGATAAAGAACCTTTTCATAGGCTGAAATAATTTCTTTTTTTCTCTGTTTGTTTTGAGGCAGGCTTGGAGCCCAAGGCTGATCTCAACCAGTGTTGCAGAGGAGGACCTTGAACTCTTGATCCTCCTGCCTCTACCTCCCATGTGCTAGAATCCCCGAAGTGTGCTGTCATGCCCAGCCGTCATTAGCTAGTTGGCAGTCTTCTCCTGTGTATTGTAAAGCACAGTCCAGATTATGCTACTAATCACCAAGTAATGAGTTCTAGGACTCCTGGCTTTTGTTCTGATATGTATGTGAGCACAACTTTCCAGGCTGCTACAGAAACAAGTTTACTTCTGGCCTAGAGGCAAGATTTTTTAAAAAAGATTTATTTATCTTTATTTTATGTGCATTGATGTTTTGCCTGCATATATTTCTGTGCGAGTGTGCCAAGTCACCTGGAACTAGAATTATAGACAGTTGAGAGCTGCCATGTGTTGGGAATTGAAAACAGGTCCTCTGGAAGAACAGCCAATTCTCTTAACCATTGAATCCTCTCTCTAACCCCGAGGCAAGATTTTGTGTGTGTGTGTGTGTGTGTGTGTGTGTGTGTGTGTGTTTTAAAGAACTGACTAGAGCAATATTCATTCTGCTTCATACTGGAATTCCAGGCTTTTTAATTATTAACTCTAATATAGTATTTACTCTAGTGAAAAGCCTGCAGTGTAGTACCATAAAGCATTTCACATTATGTTCTAATGTGAGGCACCTTGTTAAATTCAAGACTTTGGGTCCTTCTTAAGAATAGGGAGAAAGTATGCCAAAACACAGCTGTAATAGAAAGGGTGCATGTAGAATACTTGGATTTGAAGTTTGAGAGTTCTTTTGAATATAATATGTACATATCCCTTTTATTGTGTGATTTTCCTAGTCATGAACAAACATGTTAAGAGAATCTCTCATCTCAGTGACATAAAAATTAAATAGCCTTTTATTAATTAGTTCAGTAGTTTTGTTTCAAATGAATTTTGAAAAAATTAGGCTTTTAGGACTTTTTAGGTTTCTGAACTATAGAGGATTATAGCCTTATTGTCAAGGAAAAGTCGCCCTCACCCCCTTTTTTCTTTACTGGGGGAGTTGAACCAGGATGAGTGCCTTGAGTGTGGTAAGCAAGCACTTTACCACTAAGTCTCAGTCCCAGCCCTTTTTATTTTATTTTGGGTTGGATTCCTAGTAGGTAGCCCAGGTCAACCTCCAACTCACAGACTTGCTTCTGACTCCTTAGAACTGAGATTATAGGTTTGTGTTACTGCACTTGATCCTTGAGTTTGAGGATTTATACCAAAAAGTTTGAGCAGATTGTGATTTCACACCTTTTGTTTTTTTCTTTTCCCAAAGGAATCAAGAGGTTTGTGGCTGGAGCTCTGGGCCCTACTAACAAGACGCTTTCTGTCTCCCCATCTGTGGAAAGGCCAGATTATAGGAATGTCAGTGAGTATTCATTACATACTGTAGATCATGGACCTTGGTGAAGTGCTTTAGCAATCTATAAGTCTACAAAGTGAGACCTCAGAATTGTGACTGTGTCTGTGTCAAAGGCTTACAATAGTAAATACTGAAATAACCTGAAATACTCTAAAGTATTGTCTTCTGGCTGGGCGGTGGTAGCATATGCCTTCAATCCCAGCACTCGGGAGGCAGAGGCAGGCGGATCTCTGTGAGTTTGAGGCCAGTCTGGTCTACAAGAGCTAGTTCCAGGACAGGCTCCAAAGCTACAGAGAAACCCTGTCTCGAAAAAACAGTTACAACAAAAAAAAAAATGTCCTCTGGAGAGGTGGCTTCTCTGAACTGGGGGTGAGGGGCAGTGAAATTTATAACTTTTTATTATAGATTTAGCCTGTGATATTTTCAGATCTCTTTTATTTTATTATGTTGTATTTTTTACTTGTGTGTGTGTGCGCGCGCACGTGTGCGTCTGTAAAGTCCAGATGAGGTATTGAGTCATCTGGAACTGGAATTATAGGCAGTTGAAGCCTATATAGGCAGTGGGTGCTGCGTTCTCTCTGGTCCGCTGGAAGAGTGGCAAGTACTCTTAACTGCTGAGCCATCTCTCTAGCCCCTAAATCCTGTTTCTTAGATTTGTCTCTTAATGTGTTAAGATGATTTATGGAAAGAGTGATTGATGTTTTTATTTAAAAGATGTTGAGAATAGAGTACACAGTTAACCACTTAATGTATCTTCTCACTCGTAGCTCATGTGAGAAGTGGGGGGCTCATGGCAGAATTTTAGGATAACTTTGTTGATTATTTCCTACCACTGTGTTTGGTTTTTACACAAAGTGTTGCCCTTAAGCAATTACATTGTAAACGTTCATTGTTTCACAGGTGCAGCCTTGAGCTTGGCACACCCTGGTGTCATTCAGAAGGTGGGGGTTTCTGATGCGCTGACTGTGATTTGTTTTCTGCAGCATTTGATGAGCTTGTTGAAGCATACCAGGAGCAGGCCAAAGGACTGCTGGATGGTGGTGTGGATATCTTACTCATTGAAACTATTTTCGATACAGCCAATGCCAAAGTAAGTGAGGGGCAAATGGAGTGGGATGATGGAGGGGTTGTGAAGACTCCTCTACAGTTAGAAGATAATAATAGCTACTATTGAATTTAAGTAAGTTTCTTGTGTTTGCTCTGTTTTAGTCTTTCTCTGATTGACTCTTTCATGTGCACCACACCTGAGTCTAGAAATCATACTTCCTTTTCTTTGATTTATGTCCTCTGCTCTTTTTGTTTTGTTTTGGAATTTTAAAAATTATGTGTGTGTCTGGGTATCTGCACGTCAGTACAGATGCCTAGAGTTCAGATGCCTAGATGTTCAGAGTCTAGAAGCATCTGATTCCACCTATAGCTGGAGCTGCCTGATATGGTTGCTGGGAATAAAACTTGGGCTGTCTGGAAGAGCAGTGTGTGTTCTCCTAACCATGGAACTAGCAGATGTGCAACTGGAAAGAAGCACAGTGTTGTTTTTATTGGGTACGTGGGTAGCCAGGCAAGACTGTAAAGCACTAGGATAGTTTTTTAAAATTTGATGGAAAAGATAAGCTACTGGATTTTTAAGTTTTGAAATGTGTGGGCTATATATTACGCAGTTTCACATGAGAGTGATTATTTAGATACATGTATGTATGCATGTGTAAAGATGGAGGGTAAGCTTGGGTGTCATCCTCAGGAATCCTTAGATCTTTAAAGATGCCACCTGTCTCCTTTAAAATGGTTTCTCATTGTTCTGGATCTCTCCAATAGCGAGTAAGCCCCAGGGAGCCTTCTGTTTCTACCTCCCTAAAACTGGGATTGCAAGTGTTTATCACCAGCTTTTAAAGTGTGTTTTAGGGATTGAATTCAGGTCCTCATGCTTGTAAGGCAAGTGTTTCATCAACTGATTATCTTTGATATGTATAAGAATTTTTAACCCTTTATTTTGGATACATGTGTGTATGTGTGTGAGTAGGTGAGTTCCACAGTGCATCAGTGTTTGTCCCTGGACAGCTTGGGGAGTCACTTCTTTGTTTCCCTTGATCAAACCTTAGGTTGTCAGGCTTGGCAGCAGGTGCCTTTACCCACTGAATCATCTTTCAGGCCCCATATATTCTTTTTTATACTAGAAGTTTTTCTAATGATATATTTGGAATTTATTTTGTAGTATGAAGTAGGCTGTAGTATGAAGACATTAGTGTAAGATTATTTCATTTTCCCAATACTATCTTCATTTTTCATTAATTTTTTTTTCATTTTATGTGTTTATGTGTTTTTGCTTGCATGCATGTTTGTGCACCATGTATGTACCTGATGCCCATAGGGGGTTGCAGAAGGTTTTGAACCATCATATAGGTGGTGGGAATTGAAGCTGGGTCATCTGTAAGCAACCTGTGCATTTAACTGCTGAACCATCTCTCTAGCCCAAAATACTTTATTATTTCTCAATGACATGAAAGATGCATAAGACGGCCTGTCCTGTTTTTGTTGTCAGCTTTGTATAAGTCAGGGTCATTTGGGAAGAGGGAATGTCAGCTGAGAAAATGTTTCCATCAGATTGGCCTGTAAGAAAGTGTATGGTTGATATGTGAGGGCCCTACTGTGGGTGGTGCCACCCTGTGGCAGATGGTCCTGCATTATATAAGGAGACTTACTAAGGCATGGGGAGTAAACGAGTAAGCAGTATTCCTCCATGGTCTCTGCTTTAGTTCCTGTCCCCAAGTTCTTGTTCCCAAGTTCCTGCTTTGGCTTCTCCTTTGATGGACTGTAACCTGTAAGCCAGATAAACCATTTCCTAAGTTGCTTTTGGTCATGGTGTTTAAGCACAACAATGGAAACCTTGACTAAGATACCCTAAATTCTATATTCCTTTCCAGAACTCTGTTCTTGTGGCATTACTGTATTGGTTGCTGCAGCTTTAGAATAGCTTGAGTGACTGGTAGGCTTAGCCCCTTTTACTAATCCCATCCTTTTACCTAGAACTTTTCTGCCTATTCTGATGTATTTGTTTTCCATAAGATTTTAAGGTTATAAAATCTTACACAGTTAGGCAGTGGTGGCTCAAAGCTGGGCAGTGGTGGCGCATGCCTTTAATGACAACACTCAGAAGGCAGAGGCAGGCAGATCTCTGTGTGTTTGAGGCTAGCCTAGTTTACCAAGAGAATTCCAGGACAGCCAGGGCTGTTACACAGAGAAACTCATTCTTGAAAAAACAAAATAAAAAACAAACAAAAGATTTTAAGGGACTGCCAGGTGGTGGTGGCGCACACCTTTAATCCTAGTACTCAGAAGGTAGGTTCAGGCAGATCTCTGAATTCAAGGCTAGTTTGGTCCAGAGTGGCAAGAGCTATACAGCAAAACCATGTCTGGAAAAACAACAAAAATAAAAAAAAATTTAAAACCCCAAAAAGCAACAACAACAAAAACCAACAATAACAAAAAATTTAAAGGATTGATTTTTTTTTTTTTTGTAGTTCTAAAATAGTAATTCCAGTTTGTTTATGTGACAGTCTTACTATGTAGCCCAGACTAACCTAGAACTGGTCTCATAGGCTGTCCTGAAACCTGAGGTCCCTCTGCCTCAGTCTTTCAAGTATTGGCATTGGAGGTGTACATCACCACACCAGCATTAATATTGTTGTCTTAAGAGCTTTCCTTGGGGAAAACAAAGAGACAAACAAACAAAAAACAAAAACCCCCCACTACTGGAAAAGGTTGAATTAATGACAAGTTGCATTCCAATTACAGATGTGTTCATCTTCACATGGTGACTAATACAAGGAAGAAGAAGTAGAAAGAAGATCACTGCTTGAAGCTTAAACATGGACTTTTAACAGAGAGGAGTAGTTATAACCCAAGCTCACGATGACTTTTCTAGTGATGTACATCTGTGGTTCTTATGACTGCCGTTGACAAAATAGGCAGGACATTGTTGTAGTTAATTTATTTTAATTGAGGGAGGAAAGAAAGAAAAGTTAGCTCTTCAGCTCCTCTTCAGAAGAAATAACTAGTTTGTTGGTAAACTCATGTTTTTATTTTTTATTTTTTTATGATTCTGGGGTTGAACCTCGAACCTTGTGCACCATGCTAGGCAGGGTTCCACTACAGAGCTTTTCCTATATTTGAGCATTCATTGGAGTGTATAGTGTTACCTTACCTGAGGATTGCTTAGCATGTACAGTGTTAAATATGATGTTTCCTTATACAGCATTTGTTAGCCTGTACTATGTTACACTTGAGGTTCCCTACCTAAGCATTGGTTAGCATGTACCGTGTTACACTTGAGATTTCCTTACCTGAGCATTGATTAGCATGTACACTGTTACACTTGAGATTTCCTTACCTGAGCATTGATTAGCATGTATGTGTTACACTTGAGATTCCCTTACCTGAGCATTGGTTAGCATGTATACTGTTACACATGAGATTCCCTTACCTGAGCATTGGTTAGCATGTACCGTGTTACACATGAGATTCCCTTACCTGAGCATTGGTTAGCATGTACCGTGTTACACATGAGATTCCCTTACCTGAGCATTGGTTAGCATGTACACTGTTACACATGAGATTCCCTTACCTGAGCTTTGGTTAGCATGTACGTGTTACACATGAGATTCCCTTACCTGAGCATTGGTTAGCATGTACAGTGAGTGTTACACATGAGATTCCCTTACCTGAGGATTGCTTAGCATGTACAGTGTTAAATATGATGTTTCCTTACACAGCATTTGTTAGCATGTACTGTGTTACACTTGAATTTTCCTTATCTGAATGTTGGTTAAGATTCCCTTATCTGAGCCTTGTTTAGAATGTACTGTGTTATACTTGAGATTCCCTTACCTGAGCATTGGTTAGCATGTACCGTGTTACACTTGAGAAGGGATGTTAGGCATGTAGGGCAGATTCCCTTTCTTCAGCTTAGGGCCTTCCCTGCCTGAAGAGGTCTTGGGAAGGGGTGTTGTGATCAGGCAGTTAGTTAACGTTGGGCATTTCACAGAAATAATGTATTTTTCTTGTTTTTTTTTTTTAATAGGCAGCCTTGTTTGCACTCCAGAAACTCTTTGAAGAGAATTATGCTCCTCCCCGACCTATCTTTGTAAGTTCTTAAATATGTACCTGACAATCCCTCTCCCTCTTTAAAAAAATTCTTTTGTAATTAGGGCTTTTGTGTAGGTTTTTCCTTCCTGGAATAGTAGAGTATCTTTTAGAAACTACCCTTCTGTTCACCTCCCTGCTATCCATAGCTACCTACCTCTGGAGAGATAACTAGCCTAGATGTGTCTGATGGAGGATAGGCTGTCCAAAAGAGGTCAAAGCCTTGACAGCTGTCTCTCTAGGGCTTGTAGAGGAATGTGTGTGGGCATATGATTTATACTAGGGTTTTCTTGCCTTTGTCCTTCAAAAGACTAATAAGGGTTTTGTCACTAATATGGGTTTTGCCGTGTGAATATAGCCAGAGCGATGCCAAAATAAGAGGGATCCTTTCCCCATTTCATTTGCTAGCAGAAAAGCATTGTGGGTAGTTATATTTTAAAAACTAAGATTTCTAGTTGATGGCACCTAAAAATTTCAGACATATGTAGATCTCAAACTTCCCAGGAAATATTGATAATGTGGTCGGGACTGGCCAAGTTTCCCAGGGGATACTTTGTGTACTATTCAGCTAATTAGGGCTAAAAATTATATTCTGCATATTCTTATCCAAATGTATACATTAAAAAATTTTTTAGATCAGGTCCTATAATCAGTTAGTTGATTATATCCATTCTGCCATTTTTCTTCCTCATGAAAGAATGAAGAACTCCACTGGCTTGTTTCACTTTGTCTTTGTGACCATACTCTTTACCAGGGTCTGTATTGTTGATCTGTTTACATTGTTAATTCAGATTTCTGGGACCATTGTTGATAAAAGTGGACGGACTCTTTCTGGCCAGACAGGAGAGGCATTTGTCATCAGCGTGTCTCATTCAGACCCACTGTGGTGAGTGACTCTTTCATTTGGGGCACTTTTACTGGGAGCACATAAAATGGCCCCAGAAAGGCCTTGCTTCTGTGTTTCTACTACATCATTGCCATGGTGCACTGGATTTCCTCTAGTCTCTGAGACTTAAGGGCTTCAAGGCTTCCGGAATAAATAGGTCACACTGATATCAGGAGAGTTCTCTTCTAGGCAGTTAAGTGTGTGCTGTGAGTCTGTTTAGAATTTAAGACTGTGCTTGTCTGGATTTTAGGCTATTAACGCTCAGTTGACATTTTCAGAACAGTGATTGCAAGTGTTACGGCAGTGTCCCTCTCAATTTGTGGAACAGCAGAAGCAGTCTGGAGTAAAATAAAGTAGGGATGTTAAAGGTCAGGTTTTTATCTTTTATATAGAAGTTAGCAGTCATTGAAAAGAGTCAACATGAGAAACTGTTATTTAATGATTGACTGTTATCACAGACTCTTTGTTAACAACGAGCAGTAGAATCCTGTATTATTCATTTATCATTCATTGAAATCCAGCTATTGTCCTGGAATTCTGGCCAAGTGAAGTAGTCCACATTAAAGAGAAACACTTCACTAAATGAGAACGTAAAACGTGACTCACTAGGTGAAGGTGCTTGCTGCTAAGCTTGGTGACCTGATTTGATCACCAGGACCCACATGGTAGGCGAGAACCCATACCTGCAGACTGTCCTCTAACTTCCAGATGTACATGCCTCCCTTGTATTCCCTCTCTCCAAATACAAATGATGAAACAGATGGTGCTGTACAGAAATAGTGAAGGAAATCTGGCTGTATGTAGTGGTAGGTCCTTGTAGGACTCAGAGATGGCTCTTTAGACATGGTAACATCTGAACTATGTTGACATGAGCCAGAGTTTGCTAAGTAGATAGGCAGGATACATGGATGTGTCAGAGTGACTTAATGTCAGTACGAGAACTGGATAGTTGATAAGGAATGTCCGTATGTGATATTTCATTTGAACTTTATTAGAACTCTAAGAATTGAGTGGGAATTACTTGCTTCTTATCTCTAGGTACTTGTAGTTGAAGACTGATTGACTGGGTAATGTCAACTGTGGAAAAGAAAATTAGCATTGGAACTAAGTTTGGAAAACATTCAAACAACCTTACTAGTTGATAACACAATGATTTACAGTGTTATTTGCAATATGCTGAATCCATATTACAGTAGCTGTCTTGGTTACTTTTTTCTTGCTGTGATAAAACACCATGACCAAGACAATTTATAAAAGAAAGCACTTAATTTAGGGCTTGCAGTTTCAGACTATTAGAGTTCCTGAACATCATGGTAGAGATCATGGCAGCAGACAGGCGTGGTGCTGGAGCAGTAGTTGAGAGCTCCCATCTTGAGACCAAACCACTAGGCAGAGAATGATGAAAGTCTTAAGAAACCTTGAAGTCTTCCTCCTGTGACATTCCTCTTCAAATGAGGCCAGATCTCCTATACTTTCCCAGTTTCACCAACTGATATATGTGCACCTCTGAGGGCCATTCTTACCCATAACACCCTAGTGACCTACGATGAAAGCTTCCAAATGCACTGGTAAAATATCTAAACTGGAAAGGTCTGTTCAGTTGTAAGTTAACCATGCATGGGACCTTGCAGCCCCCTTTTTATGTGTTTGTTTTTGAGTCAGCATCTCCTGAAGCTTAGACTGGTCTCACACTTGCTGTGGCATTGTGGAGACCTCCTGCCTCTGCCTCCCGAGTGCTGACATCTACCATCATGCCTGGACCTGGATTTAGCGGTCTTAAGGGAGATGTGAGGATCAGTTGAAAATCAGTGATCAGAGAATCGTGTTTGCTTTAGATCAGGTATGCAACAATAACAACAACAAGCAGAAAGCAGAATTTTCTATACTCCCTCCCTGCCCATACTTCACCAGTTTTCCCTGTTAACATCTTGCCTTGGTATGGTAGGGTATTAATACATTATTAACTGAATACTAATCTACGTTAGAGCTCTCTTTTGTACATTCTGTGGATCTTTGCAAATATGCAGTGACACATATCTGCTATTTTAAGATCATACGGAATAGTTTTATTCACCAAAAATCCTGGATTTCTATACGTATTCATCTCTTCATTATAACTTTTATGCATAAATATTTTGAATGACAGATGATGCTTCTGAAATCTGCTTACTGTTTTTTTAGCATTGGATTAAATTGTGCTCTGGGTGCAGCTGAAATGAGGCCTTTCATTGAAACAATTGGAAAATGTACAACAGCCTATGTCCTCTGTTACCCAAATGCAGGTGTGTTTATAAGGGGGCGTTGCATGCAAAGAACTTGATATATTCAAGTCATGGTAATTGGGATAATTGCTTAATTTGGAGAATTTATATTGTAAGGTGTGTGTGTATACATATAGTGGAGGGAGGGAGAGAGAAGGAGGGAGGCTCGAGTGTGTCTGTTTTTTTAAGACTCAACATGAATTTTGCCTAAAACAAAACAAAATTGAGTATTTGGCTTTATACTAGTGCTTCCCCTTAAGCCTGAAAGAATAGTTTTGCTCAGCAGAACAGTTTCAGTTAGGGCGTATCTTCAGGAAATTAGTCTAGCTTTGTCACTAATAAGGGTTTTACCGTGTGAATATAGCTAGAGCGATGCCAAAATAAGAGGGGTCCTTTCCCCATTTCATTTGTTAGCAGAAAAGCATTGTGGGTAGTTATATTTTAAAAACTAAGATTTCTAGTTGATGGCACCTAAAAATTTCAAACGTGTAGATCTCAAACTTCCCAGGAAATGTTGATAATGTGGTCGGGACTGGCCAAGTTTCCCAGGGGATACTTTGTGTACTATTCAGCTAATTAGGGCTAAAAGTTATATTCTGCATATTCTTATCCAAATGTATACATTAAAAAAATTAAAATATTTTTATTAGTATGTGTGTAAATGATCTATATATGTGGGTGCAATTACTTGTGTGTTATGGCGTGCATATGGAGGTCAAAGGATAACTTTTAGGAATTGATTCTCTCTTTCCACTGTGGGTTTTGAGACTTGAACACATCTCACCAGCCTCAAGTGTATACATTTTAAAATGCATAAAAATGGTCTGGACAGATGGTTCAGTGGTTGAAAACACTTGTTCTTGCCAAGGACCTGGGATTAATATCCAGCCCCCATATGTTGGTTCACAGCCATCCATAACTCCAGGTCCAGGAACTCTGACACCCTCTTCTGACCCCTTTGGCACCAGGCCACATAAATTTAAGCAAAATACATCTTTAAAAATGCATACTTTATTTTATTTTCCTTTGGTATTCCTTTGGTAATTAGGGGCAGGGCATGACTCCAGTAGGAAACTAGATAGTCAAAGGATAAGGTATCAGGTTATACTAAAGAGAGATAAACATTTACTTTAGAAACAAAGATGTCACAAGCTCTAGGTAAAAGATACACATGGGAAATATTTCAGATACTATGAAACCTTTTATGCTATCTGAAATACAGTAGAAGTATTTAACTAATTTAAAGGAGGCTGGTATTTCTTATTTTTGGTTGCATTGCATGTCAGATGTTCATTAGTTCAAAGGCTATGGGATTGTGTACAGGGTGTCTTCCACACAAGCAGTTTTGTAAGACGAATGAGTTTATCTTATTGTGAGGGGTTCGGAGGTGGAGGCTGGAGCACTCTGTTCCAAATGGGAGTGAACATGTAAAAGAAAGGTGAATGTTCTTCAAATTTTGTTCTTATTGTTATGCTATCTGTTCTGTAAATACTGTATTATTATTATTCATTTTGTAAGCAGTTATAATTTGAGTGTCAATAGAGAATTGTGTAAATTTTAAAACACCTAGATATTTGTTAAGATACTTTTGAATAATGGTTGAAATGTCCTTTCTCAGGTCTTCCCAATACTTTTGGTGACTATGATGAAACACCATCCATGATGGCCAATCACCTAAAGGTCAGGGATCCATTAATTTCAGTTTTAAAATATAGATAGTGTTATTTTAATTAATTAATTAATTATTTAACTTTGAGATCCAGTTTCTCTTGCCTAAGGTGCTCTTAAACTTGTTGTCCTTCAGTCTCAACCTCCTGAATAGTTGGGGTTATAGAAGTATGTGCCAAAATGCATGATGGAAGATGGTATTTAGATTTAATATAATTTTCTTTCAAAATATTGTATATAATAACTAAATAAAGTCTAGGTAGTCTGAGAAAGTAGTAGAAGCATAAGGCAGACTTAACCGTCTGCTTACTTAATGGTTGGCAGTGGTAGCTATTGGAAAATTCCTAGTGAAGTCGTCCCCAAACTGAATGACACGTAGCTCGCTACAGTGTCCCTTCTTCAACACTATCAAATAATGGCTGCCCCTCTCCTTCACTTGAGACTGCGGGGTGGGTGAATTAGATGCCCACGTGCCTCCCTCTCTTGGGTGTACTCGCCATCTTTGAATCACGAGACTGTGTCACTGCTGCTGTTGCTCAGTGCACTCATGTCGTGATGCCTCTGTTTCCCTTCAGTTTTTGAATTTCTAGATCTTGGCTCACTGATGCTTTCTCTTAGATTATTTCTGAGTCAGTTCATATAATTTCACTATCTTTTTTTGTTTGTTTCCACTGAGGGTTTTGCTATAGCCCAGACTGCTTTTGAGCTCATGATTCTCCTGCCTTAGTCTCCTGAGTACTGAGATTATAATTTCAATTATCTTAAGTAGATAATCTTGGTGCTCCGCTTTCTCAGCCTCTTTATTTTATCTCTTCACTCACTAGACTCTGGTTATTCCAGACCCTGCTGATCAGTATGGCGCCTTACCTGTGTGTTTGATGAAATGCTTGAAACATGACTAATGTAACAGAGGGCATTCATTTTTTTATTTAAAAAAATTTAAATTAAATTGAAAAACTGATACTCATATGTCATTTGAAAATGTTATCCATTTCATATTCATTGTGGTCATATGGGTAAAAACCAGTTTCTTTTCATCAGAAAGGCAAATAAAATTACTTCTGTGTTTCAGACAACGTAAAAGGTTTCATAGTATCTGTACTATGTCCTATGTGTATCTTTTACCTAGGGCTTGTGACAGTTTTTAATTTAAAATACAAGTAAATGTGTTTATCTCTCTTTAGTATCATCTCAGTTATTCAGGAAATATAGAAAGTAAATGCTCTTATGCTGAGTTTGTTTTGGTAAATTTTGAATTCAGATGAATTCACTTTCCCTAAGTACAGGACTTTGCTATGGATGGCTTGGTGAATATAGTTGGTGGCTGCTGTGGTTCAACACCCAATCATATCAGGTAATGGTTACCTCTTTTGTCCTGCTTTAAAATTTGTTTGCTTTTATTTGTTGATAACTTTTAATGATATTTTTATTATTTTTTGGAGAATTTTATACATGTACATAATTATTTCGATCATATTTACTCCCTAGTTCTCTTTATGCGCCTTTGAGGCAGGGTCTGTCTTATTGTGTAGCTCACACTGGCCTGGTACTTAATATGTGTAGGTAGCTCGGGCTGGCCTTGAACCTATGGCAATCTTCTTGACTTAGCTTCCCAAATCTGGGATTATAGCATATACCATCATGTCTGGCCTTTTATTTTTTGTGTGTGTGTGTCTATGTATGTGTGTGTTTTCAGGGCCTACAAAGGTAGGCATTAGAATGGATATTGGATTTCTTGTAGCTGGCATTGCAGGTATTTGTGAACTACCCAGTTTTGTGGGTGCTGGCATTTGAGGCATTTTGATAGCCCTCTTTGCCCTTTTCTGTTCTATTCTCTTCTCAAGACAAGGTCTCATTGTGTAGCTCTGACTGGCACAGACCCTGTTGTATAGCTCAAGTTGGCCTTAAACTCTTGGCACCACCTGTCTCAGCTTCCTGAGGATTGAGAATGTAGTTGTGAGCCACTTTGTCCAACCTAATATTTCCTGTGCTTATCAGCTCAGTTGTTCTACCCACAAGTTTGTATGTTTAAGTCTTAACCCTTGGTACTTGGAATGTGACTGTGTGTGGAGGTGGTTGAAGGAACAAGTGGATCTGCCCATAATCCTGCACAGTCAGTGTCCGTGCAAGAACAAGATACAAGTGAACAGGTGAAAGATCCTGTAGACACAAGACTTCAGCAGTCTGCAGGCCGCAGGGAGAGAGAGGCCTTACTTAGAAGAAGCACCATCAGCACCTCAGTCACAGACTGTCTATCAGATGTGAGAGTCAGTTTCTTTGTGTACGTCTCGTTACTATGGCAGTGATAATACTTCATATTATGAAAAATACAAGCAAAAGCAGTTTTATATAAAGAAACACTCTAAAAATTAAAGTAGTACAGAAAAATTACAGTGAGCTGTCATGTACCTATCTCAGAGGTACCATAATTTTCCATTTTGCCATTGTTATTTTGTCTGACACTGAACTTCTACCCCTGGAATATTGTAAACTCCATATAAGACTCCACCCGGATATTCCCAGGTGGATAATTTGAATGCTCACAAAAGGACAACTAGGTGTTCTTAGGTGCAACACATGTCTCCATTAGGTTCTCTCCTACAGAGACAGTACCTAGCATCTTGAGGTCTAGAGGAATAGCCTCCTTGGTCCTGTGTGTCATTGCTTACTCAAGCTTTCAGGGGCCGGTGTGAAGGAAGGAGTGAAAAATGACAGTGCTGGTTATGGATATGTTTATTCTGATCATTTGTGGCTCTCAGAAAGATTAGGAGTCTTAGCCATTTCCCATAGAGTCAACAGTGATTGTGTTTTCAGCCAGCCCTTACTGTTCCGTGTATGTGCACATAATATATTTCTTTAGCTGAGTTACCCAATACTTTTTTTTGTTTGTTTTTGTTAAACTACTTTTCTTGACTTCTCTGATAGAAGTCTTGGCTGGAACTTCCTGTGTAGACTAGGCTGGCCTGGACCTCACAGAACTCTGCCTGCTTCTGCCTTCTGAGTGCTGGGCTTAAAGGTGTGCACCTTTACACCTGGCTTCTATGATATACTGTAAATAACTATAAAGTTATTATATATTTACCTTTTTGGTGCTGTTAATTGAACCCAAGGTTTGTATGTACTCATCATCTACTCTAGCGCAGTATACCTACATTCCTATTGTTTGTATATCCTTTATGTTATGTCTTCACCAGTAGTTGAAGTATCTTATCTTTGGATCACAGACCGACTCTTCATTTTTTTGGTTCACTTCCTCTTTAAAAAGAGGTTGTTATAACTTGGGTATTTGTATGTTGGTATCTATACCTATCTGTATAACTCCTGCTTTTACTTAGTCATCCACATACTAATTTGGGGACAGTAGAGTGAGCAGTGCCTATAGGGCCTGATAGTAAATAGAGAAAGCTAGATTTTGTGGTTTATCAAGCAGAAATTGACAATGTTAAAGAGACTGTGGATAACTGAAACACATTTTGAGGAGTAATGTTTTGAAGAGTCCAAACTCTATTTCTCTGTTCCTTCCTTGTTGTGTGCACAGGAGTGACTTCTCTCCATTGCCAGCAACCCAGCAAACTCCCCAAGCGCACATTTACTGTTATTTCTCAGAGCTCCAACTTCTCTTTGAAGTTGCTAAACTGTTGGTTAGGTAGTGGGGACGTGTTTTGCATGTGGGCTGGGGGGAGGAAAAGGGTTTTGGTTTGCAGTTTGTGTTTGTGCAGACCTCACACAGCAGCTCCAGCTCGTGTCTGTGATGGTAGAAATAGCACAGCCAGCACTGCTGAGGAAGTGAAGGATGTAACTGCTGCTGTACATTTAAGTAGGCATATCATTATGCACATGGGTGTATTGATGCAGGCTTATTTTCATAGCTGGAAATTATCTTAATTAAATACATGTTACTCTGAATTAATGAATACAGTGTTTTCTTTTTTAACTTAGGGAAATCGCTGAAGCTGTGAAAAATTGTAAACCTAGAGTTCCACCAGCTAGTGTTTTTGAAGGACATATGTTACTATCTGGTAAGTCATGAAGATGTAGTTTTTTAACAAACCATTTATAGGATCTATTTAATGTGTATATATCTAAGTGATTATTTATGCCAAGAAACTTATTAGGTCAAAGAAGAGTGGTTATTTTCCTTGGCACTTAGGTAAATTTTACTAAAGAACTCTGTTTTTCTAGGATGGGTAGAGAGATTAATTCCAGGGTAAAAAGGAATGAAGAGCAGGCGACTTGCTGATATACTCCCTTGTTTACAGTGAGAGTCAGTGGGCTTGTCTTTGCTGCACAGAGACAGCATAGCCTTGTCATTGCCTAAGTTTTAATACTCAGTTGATAGGAAGTATTGAAAATTCCAAATGGTTAAGGCCTAGTGCTTTGTAATGGCAATGTAACAAGTATTGTTAGAATCTTGTATTTGCTGTTTGTTTGGGACTTGATTTTATTTTTGGTCTCTCTATGCAGCCCTGGCAGTGCTGGAACTCATTTCATAGACCAGGCTGGCCTCATAGATCCACCTGCCTCTGCCTCCTGACTGTTGGGCTTATAGGTGTGCATCATCATGCCTGGATTTTTAATTTAATTTTATTTTCCTGAAATGTTGGTGTATAAAGACAGGTCTCACTGTATAGCCAAAGGCTGCTTCAAACTAACAATCCTCGTGTTTCCTCTTTCTGAGTGCTAGAATTACATGTACTACTATGTCCAATCTGAAAAACACTTCGTTAACCTGTGTGTAAATAAGAGAAGTATTGCTTCTGTATCTGATGAGTCATTGCTGCTAGATCAGAAGTGCTTTGTAGAATGCCATTAGATCACACAAGCACCCTCAGCATTTAGTGGTTGTCATTCCTATTTAGCTAGTATACAACCTCCAGATTGTGTGAAAGGTCAGGGGGCACAAGGCTCATTAGCAATGAGAAAAGTCAGAAATGGTAAATGTAGAAAGTTATTGCTTCCTGAGTCTGTGAAATAATGGCCTGGAATATCTTTATAATTACCCAGGCCATTATAATCTTCCTCTTTCTCATACTAGCTTCTTCATGTAATGCTTCGGCAAAGGACTCAAAGGCCATTTTTTTTTTATGAAGCTCTATTAGCTGATGCTAATTTTGTGTAATTCATTTTTATGATAAGTAAGGTTGAGACTATCACTGATTTGTAAGCTGAAAGATTGTGTGATTGTCTCAGGTTGTGTGATCACATAAGTGATGAACCCAAGGCCTTCATCTCTAGAACCTGCCTGTGACTATTCAGGGAGACTGCTTTCTATAATACTTTAAAAACAAAGGCTGTTTGACAACCTCTTCTACAGTCATTTCACAATCTTTTGCTTTTTGTCTGAGTATAATGCATCTACATGTGTTATCTGAGACTTGCCTCTGAATTAGCCTGTGCCAGGGAAGATGGTGCTACTCCTTAGTAAATAAGATAATAATATGCCAAAGCCCAATGGTCTGCCTTGGGTGCCTCATGGTGGAAGATCAACCACAGTGGCTCCTGTGGACCTCCCTCACCATCCAGTTTGGCAGTGTTAGTTTTAGGTTCATGGTCTTTCAGTGAAAGAGATGGAGTGCTCTTCCACAGTCACTGTTGACTGGGTCTTCCACATATGCTGTTGTTGTGACCATCCGCATGCTCCGTTGATGGGACCTTCTACATTCACTGTTGATATGACCTTCCATGTTCACTGCTGACTTTCCATAAACTTTGTTGATGAGGTCCTTCCACATGCACTGTTAATGGGATCTTCTACATGCAATGTTGTTGAGACCTTCCAAATACTCTGATGATGGGTGAAGAGATTTGTTCCATGCAGCTGCAAGTTGATTTCTGATAGAACAGCACTGGAGCAAAAAGAGACAAAGAATTCTTTTGAGGTAGGATTTTGAAGCATAGTATACACGTTGACCTCAAAGTCCTACAAGTTACAGAGTGCTGGGATTATAGCTATGAATCACCATGCCTGATTCAACATTCTTTTTTTTTCCCTCCCAAGATGGGTTTCTCTGTGTAACTCTGGCTGTCCAAGAACTTGCTTTATAGACCAGGCTGACCTTGAATTAACAGCCTGTTCCTCCCAAGTGCTTAAATTAAAGGTGTGCACTACCACTACCTGTTTTTGGTTTTTTTTGTTATTGTTCTTAAAATATTTATTTTTTGAGAATTTCATACAGTCTATTTTTTTTTAAACAGATTTACACATATCCCAACTCTTCCAGTAACTACCCTTTTTATTCTGCTATCCCTCCCTACCCAGTTTTTAGTTTTCTCCTTGTCGTAGAGTTTCAAATGCTATGAAGAGAAACCATGACCATGGCAACTCTCATAAAGAAAAAAATTTGATTGGCTGGCTTACAGTTCAGAGATTTACTCCCTTATCATCATGGTGAGATATGGCAGTGTATAGGCAGACACGGTGCTGAAGAAGCCGCTGAGTATTTTGTGTCTTGATCCACAGGCAACAGAAGTGAACTGAGACAATCAGCATATGTTGAGCATAGGAGACCACAAAGCCTGCCTCCATAGTGACACACTTCCTTCAACAAGGCCACACCCACTCTAACAAAGTCACACCTCTTAATAGTACCACTCCCAATGAGTTTATAGGGGCCAATTACATTCAAATCACTGCACTCTACAGCCTTCCAAGCCTAGTTGGTGTTGCCCATGTAGTTTTGACTCTTCTAATTTTAGTTTGTTTTTTTGAGACAGGGTATCTCTGTGCAGTCTTGGAACTTACTCTGTAGACCAGGTTGGCCTCGAACTCACAGAAATCTGCATGCCTCTGCCTCCTAAGTGCTTGAATTAAAGGTGTGTGCCACCATTACCTGGCTGCACATGGGTTTTGAAAAGAAAATGACACACATTCTATTTCCCTTTCCTTCCTTATCTCCTTGTTTCCCTGTCTCCCAGCAGCTATCAGATGCCAATAACGTCTCAGCTCATGATGGGGTCTTGTGCCTACTTCCTCCATCTAGTTCTGAATGGGACATAACATGCCCCTCTTAGGCTCAGGGATTTTCAGGGGAAAGTGGAGCAGAGAGTTTATAACTGTCAGAAGTTGTGGGTAGCATCAAGAGACAGGATTTTCCAGACACAACAGAGTAGTTACACATGACTCACAGCAATTGGAACAGCATGCACAAGGCGTACTCAAGCTCAGTCCTCCTTTGAAGTTTTCTTCATGACTTTTGCCCCAGAGCCTTAGTTAAATAAGAATGATGGTGGCTTTTCTTTTGAGAGACTATGTGGTTCAGCCCACTCTGGGTATTTACAGCATAGAGCTCTGCTGTGTTTCTTCTTGGGAGATCTGATTGTAAGCAGAGTTGCAACAAGTAGCCCTTCAATGTTCAGAAAAGAAAAGATTGTGATCCTGTTTCCCTGTCATCTCCTGTCCTATCTGCTCAGATGGGCTTGACATTCTTACTGAAAATACTTTGTTTCATGTCATCCATGTACATTTTCAAGAACTTTTCAAAATGCTTTTCCTTTTAAGGTCTCGAGCCCTTCAGGATTGGACCATACACCAACTTTGTTAACATTGGAGAGCGCTGTAACGTGGCAGGATCCAAGAAGTTTGCTAAACTCATCATGGCAGGAAACTATGACGTGAGCATCTTCATGAGGCCCCCGGGGCATTGCCCTGCCTCTGGGTAGACTGTATGTCGGCAGAGTGTGTTTGTTCTGGCTGGTGCTGTTGCAGAGCTGCTAGGATGTATGTGAGGGTGCTGATGGCAGCTGGTGGTAGGTGGGGCTGCGGGGGCGATGACGCTTTGAAGATTTGAAGCTGCTGTTGTTACTAATCAGAAAGCATTGCATTTGGGGCATGGGGTGAGATGACTGGGAGGGATCCAGCTTCTAGTCATTCATTGTTCAGTAAGTTTGGATATTTGGGAATACTCTCCATTTTGGCCTCTCTAAAACCTTTCTCTGGATGGGGAAAACCAGGGGAGTTCCATTGTTTTAAATTACATATTATGCAAATGACTGTTTTGCTTACATGAATGTATGCATACCACGTATGTGCCTGGAACCCAGAAGACCAGAAGGACATTGGATCCCTAGGAGATGGAGTTACAGATGGTTGTGAAATTCCATGTGGGTGCTGGTAACTGAACCAGGTCCTCTACAAGAACAACAAGTATTTATTTATTTTCAAGACAGGGTTTCTCTGTGCCTCCCTGACTGTTCTGGAATTCACTCTTTATGCCAGGCTGGCCTCTAACTCACAGAGATCCGTCTGCCTCTGCCTCCAAAGGGCTGGGATTAATGGTGTGTGCCACTGTTACCTGGCAACAAGAAGTATTTTTAATTACTGAGTCATCTCTGCTCCTCCCAAAGAGAATTCTTACTCCTCTGACCACATCAAATGCTTGCTGTGGAAGATATTGTTAGTCTGTTAGCAATAGGTCAGAACAAAATCAAGGTCCTTGCCTTGAGAAGTCTACATTTTTAGCTGTGTATACTGTAGATGAGTCAGATTTAATCCATGCAGAGCATGGCTAAGGTATCTGGATAGGTTTTACTTTTCTGTAAGTATGAAATAAAAATGGAAGAAGTTGATTTAAGGTTTTGGGTTTTTTCTTCTTCTGTGAGTTAATTTCTTCTTTTCTTTTTTGTCCGGCAGTGGTGGTACATGCCTTTAGTTCCAGCACTGGAGAGGCAGAGACAGTCGGACCCCTTTGAGTTCAAGTCCAACCTGATCTATAAAGCGAGTTTCAGGATAGCTAGGGATACACAGAGAAGGCCTGTCTCAAAAAAAAAATTTTTTTTTAAACTGGGGCATAGTGGGTACATGTCTTTAATCCCAGTACATGAAATGCAGAGGCAGGAAGATTTCTATGAGCTCAGGCTGGCATGGTCTACATAGTAAGAGCTTGTCTTAAAATTTTTAAAAAAATTATTCTGTCTCTGTGTATGTGAGTATGCTTGTGTGTGTTTATACACATATGTGAACATTCATGTACAAAGCACTGCATGAATGTGGAGGTTAAGGGACAGCTTGTAAGAGTTGATTCTCTCCTTCCACATTTGTTTCTTAGGACTCAGACTCATGTCAGGTTTGGTATCAAGTACCTTAACCAGATGAGGCAGCCTCTCATTGTCCTTTGAGTTTTTGTGATTTTTTTTTGTTTGTTTCAGGATCTGAACAGATTGAAGTTGTTGTTTTTGTTTCATTTTACATTCCAGCTACAGTTCTTCCTCCCACCCCTCCCACGGGGAGTCAACAAAACGTAGCACATTAAGTTCAAGCAGGACCAAGTCCCTCCCTCCTACATCAAGACTGAGCACAGCATCCCACCATAGGGAGTGGGCTCCACAAAGCTAGGTCATGCACCAGGGATAGATCCTGGTGCCACTGCTAGGGACCCCTTAGATAAACTAGGCTACATAACTCTCCCACATACAGAGGGCCTAGTTCAGTCCCATGCAGGCTCCACAGCTGTCGGTCAAGAGTTCTTGAGTTCTCACAAGCTTGGTTCAGCTGTCTTTGTAGATTTAAGGGATTTTTAAATATGCTCATTTTATTTGTATGTGTATTGTGAGTTTATTTACGTGTGTGTGTGTGTGTGTGTGTGTGTGTGTGTGTGTGTGCATGTGGAGTCTAGAAAAGGGCACTGAATCCCTTAGAGCTGGGCCATCTTTCTAGCCTATAGATTTAGGTGCCCCACCCCTCAAGACAGGCTCTTACTGTGTAGCTTTGCCTATCCTGGAACTCAGTATGTAGACCAGGCTGGCCTTGAGTTCACAGTGATCAGCCTGCCTCTACCTCCCATGTGTCAGGATTAAAGGCATGGGTCACTATACCCAACTTAGATTTAGTTTTTAGCCATGCAGAAACAACCCATTTATGTATCTTCCTTTTGGAATTGCTAACCACTGTTTCCCTGCATCCCCGTTGTCTTTTTTTAGTGCAGGTGTTGGTTGCCTGCTGCTCTTCCCTTTTGTCCTGTTGCTGTTAGTGCTGCCGTTTACTTTTATCGTGCTTGTCCTCCAGATTTGAAAGCACTTTTTGTGAATAGGAAGCAGGATGCAGTTCAACTTCTTGAGGCTATCATTCTGTCCTTGCTACCTGTGCTGTAGCTTACCGTCTTGATTTGTCCTCTGAGCATTCTGGAAGGTTCTCTGCCATCATGCCTTGGCTGTTGCTTTCACCTTCCGAAGTGCTTGTGACCCTTAATAGTCAGATGGTGTTTTTCAGTTGGCAGAGAAGATAACAGTTTTTTTTTATCATGCCTTGGCTGTTGCTTTCACCTTCCGAAGTGCTTGTGACCCTTAATAGTCAGATGGTGTTTTTCAGTTGGCAGAGAAGATAACAGTTTTTTTTTCTTCTTCTGCCTATTCTCTGGCTATCTGTTTTAGCTTTGATGGCCTTCTTAATGAGGGCAGAGATTGCTTTAGGAGGAAGTACACAAGTAGACATAATACTAAAGTTTTCTTTTGTGCCCAGTCACTGTGCTAAGCATATTGTATCGTCACTAAACTTGCACAGTTCCGTGAAAGTCAAACTGCTTCTTTTCACCATTCTACAGATGGAGATTTGGGGAGGTTAAAATTATTAGTCTGTTTTTACATAGAATTGGTCAAAGGAAGTCTTGAAACCCATGTACTTAACTGTCTTGTGGTCTCTGCCTAGGGGAGCCTGTAGGGAGATACAGTTGAAGTGGGCCTGGGGAGTGCAGAATGGGTGGATGGGTCCTTCATAGAATCTAGGTTTCCCTGACTTCAGTGAACTTGAGGGCTCTGTGGTTTGAAGGGGAGGGCACTGATAGAGCAATGTTAGATCTGATATCTTGCTCTTGAAGGAATGACCTTAGTAAGTTTGGGAGCATTCTGTCTTCAAGCACTTGTTCTATGACTGATGAAATAGGTCAGATATTGGCATCTACATTTCCCATGTCTTTGGTACCTCTGTTGATAACTTGTCTCCTCTTTGCTTCCTCCAGTCTATTCCTGCATTGGTGGGATGAAGACTTTGCCTCCCAGGATACAACACCTTTGTTAAAGTTGGTTAGCTTTCATCTCTGATTCAGATATTTGTGGCATTTGATCCCCACACTGGTGTCAGCGCTTACTTGTGTTCTTTTTCAGTGTGACAGTATTGTGTGCCTCCAACTAGATATAAGCTCCTCAAGGCTTTTTTATTCCTTATACTATTTATTTAAATCATCCCTGATACTAAAATTATCCCCTTTTCCCCGTGCTGGAGGTGGAACCCAGTATCTCGTGCTTGCTAAGCAAGTACTATATCTACCGAGCCCCAGCTCTACTTCCTGTCTCCTACTCTCTGTCTTTCTCTCTCTCAGTCTTGACCCTAGGATCTTGAGTGTGCTAGGTAAGCACTACCACTGATCTGCAGCTTAAGCACTCGAAATTCTATTTTTAGACAGGATCTTACTGTGTATCCCTGGTTGATCTCAAACTCAGAGACATACCTCTGCCTCTTCAGTGCTAGAATTAAAGGTGAACACTGCAATGCCCAGCCTAAAAGCCATTTTTAATTTTACTTTTTGTGAGCCTTTGGGCTGCGAGTGTAGTTCAGTGGTAGAGCTCTTAGTTATCCTTGCTATCCTTTTTCTTTATGTAGATTTGTTCCTCTGGCATATGCCCAATGGCTTCTTCCTGTTTTTATCACAGTGAATGACAAAATTCCTTCTGTGTAGTTTGGGGGGCGGGCGCAAAGAAAATCAGACTAACAGCAGCATCTGTTATTGATTTTACCCTTGCTCATATATTGGGCTACAAAGCTATAATGAAGATTTAAACAAGTGCCTTTGTTATGTTAGTTAGACAAGGTCACTGAGGGTGTGGAGAGATGGCTCAGCAACTAAGAGTATGTTGGCGCCTCTCTTCCTCCGTATTCCTGTTCCAGGTGCTCTTACACCCTCTGCTGGCTTCCATGGGCACCTTTATTCATATGGCATATATTCATACAGACACACATTTATAATGCATAATAAAAGTAAATCTTTACAAAAATCTCTACTTATGTGGGGAAATATTGAAGGATTAAATGAGTTTGGATGGTTGCTCTAAAGACCTTTCTTGAAGGATCTAGACTTGAGCAAGGTTTGAACCAGTGTGGAGGGGAAGGTGATTACATTGCTAACAATGATACTGTGTGATCCGTGGCACAGAGGTGATACTTAGCTGAGTACAGTGTCCAGTGAGGGCCAACCAAGAAAGGCATTTGGGTGAGAAGGTGTCATTGGCTTATAGGCTCATGAATTTAGATCCTTCATGGTAGGAATCTGCTTTGGCAGACTCCAAGCAGTGAAATGATGTGTGGAAAGATCTAGTAGTCTATGGTGAGTGTTGGGGAGTAGGGGACAGGCCCAGAGTCAGGGAGGCAACATGTCTATTTCAGTAACAAAGGACCTTGGAGTGTGGGAGGAATTGCTTTTCCTAGTCATTGTCTCCTAACGGTGCTTCTCCCATTTCTTTTCCAGGAAGCCCTGAGCATTGCCAAAGTACAGGTAGAAATGGGAGCTCAAGTGCTCGATATCAACATGGATGATGGCATGCTGGATGGTCCCAGTGCAATGACCAGATTTTGCAACTTTATTGCCTCTGAACCTGACATCGCCAAGGTTGTACAAGGTTTATAATCATCAAGGGGTTTACCTGGTTGCTGTCATTCAATTATTTAGCCTTGTCTATCTGTCCACTCAGGAACCTCTCCTCTTTTCCTCCTTTGAAAGTACCATTATTTCTGATTCTGAGCTTTCTTATTAAGTTCTGTTCCACCTGAGGTAGATTTTAGAGAGTGATTGTGCTTGACTCTTGACGAGGTGCTTGGAAAAGTAGGCTTCAAGAAAACTGAATTTTGTCCATTGTCTGCAGTCTGAGAGTTGACTGTTGTATTTCAGAGGGATGCACTTAGCTGTTGCTTCCACACCGATTCTATTTCTACCCTGGAAAATGGAGCTCAGTTATGGTTTCCTTACTATTAGAAGAGACCTTGTTAGGCATATCAGATTAAGGCAGTGATGTCTAACAGGGTTAAATCAAGGTATCCTGTCTGTGTTTTTACTTGTTCTTCGAAAGGTACAAGTTAGGGGTTGGAGAGATGACTCAGTAATTAAAAGCAGGTACTGTTCCTGTGGAGGACCTGGGTTCAGTTTCTTGCCCTTACTTCGGACAGCTCACAATTGCCTATTAACACCAGCTTCTGGGGGATCCAAACTCCTCTGGCCTCCACAGGTTCCTGCATTTGTGTACAGACAGACAGACAGACACATTTAGAAATAGTAATAAAAAATTTGCATTACATGTTTGTTTTTGAAACAGGGTCTTACTGTGTAGTCCTGGCTGACATGTAACTTACAAAGATCTGCCTACCTCTGCCTCTGCTGTAAAAAAAAAAAAAAGGTTAAAGGCTTTTTGTATCAGTCATTTAGAATGTTTGAGAGGGTTCAAGCTAAACCTTTTTTTTAAAAAAAATATTTATTTATTTATTGTGTATACAGTATTCTTCCTGCAGGCCTCATTATAGATGGTTGTGAGCCACCATGTGGTTGCTGGGAATTGAACTCAGGACCTTTGGAAGAGCAGGCAATGCTCTAAACCACTGAGCAGTCTCTCCAGCCCCCAAACCTTTTTTTTTGTTGTTGTTGTTTGTCTATTGTAGTAGCCATGATTGGCTTCACACTAATTACGTAACCAAGATTGACCTTGAACTCCAGCTTCACCCACGTAGGTGTGGACCACCTTGCTGGAAGGACCTCTATGGGGTTTTGCTTTAAAGAAACTTCCCAGAGTTGCAGATCTTTAGGTTGAACTGTCATTTTTTTTGTTTTGTTTTTTAAATTAGGCTTTAGTAAGAACTTATGAGAAACCTGTGGTAAGCATTAAATTACATTTACCATCTTCCATCTGTGTACTAACACTTAGTAAAAACCCTTCCAGTTTTCTGCGAGTAAATCTTTTGAGACCCTCAGGTTCAGAGCTGCTCTGGTCTGTTCAGCGTTAGTCAGCATCAGTGCTGGGGGAAGAAGTCTGGGTCTTAGAGCCAAGCACACCCTTCCCCATCTCTAAGGTGAGGTGCTCAGACCCACTGTGCTCAGTTCATCAGTTGTGATGGTGCGAGTCTCTTGTTAACTGTGAAGGACCTTACGCACTTCAAGAACTTGTTACTCAGTGTTCTGACTGCTGCAATGAATGACCTTTCTTCCCTGCTTTTAATCTACTATTAAATTTACTGGACATCGAGTATGGTAGCACATGTCTTCAATCACAACACTCAGGAGGCAGAGATAGGCTGATCTCTGTGAGTTCAAGGCCAGCCTGGTCTACAAAGTGAGTTTTAGGACAATACACAGAAACCTCATCTGGAAAAACAAAAACAAACAACAGAAAACTAAACCAAATTTACTGGAGTACAAATTTCAGTCATTGGAATAGAATATAAAAATGTGCTCCTAGGCAGAGAGGCAAAGGCAGAAGATCACAGTTAGAGACCTGGGCTACATAGTGAGACCCCAAGACCCTGACTTTAAAGACCCAACGTATGAGTAGTACATTTTTACCAGTAGGGTTGGACCACCAAACTATTTGTGAGCTCTTTTAAGACACTGGCCTGGTACTTAACTTCCATTGCATTTGACTCTTTTTGGGGGTAAACTTCTTTATTACTAGTGTGCTAAGGAAAGCAAATTTGGAAGAGTACTTGTATTTAAATGGTGTCTTATATCCTACACTAGCCTGGAAATCACTATGCAGTTGAGTATAGCTTTGACCTCATATTCTCCTGCATTCATCTTCCAAGTGCTAGGAGTAGGCTTGTGTCAGCAGTTCATGAACTGAGGACCTCTGCAGGTGCTCTACCAACAGTGCTCCTTCCTAACCTCCCTCCCCAACTCCCCCTTTAAAGCAGTAATTTTTCCTGTGTGTGTTTATGGTATTGGGAAACAAAACTAGGTCCTCACACGTGTTAGGCTCTCTGTTGCTGAGATAGACCCACCCCTAGCCTTCTTGTTCTTTTTGTTGTCCTGTGTTCTAACCTTTCTTATACTTCCATCCTTACTTGTTTAAACATTTATCTTGGTAAGCATGGTGAAACCAAGGACCTGTTTGCCTTAAAGGGAGTCAGTTACTGACTGACTGCCCTAAATGATAGTCCTAAATCAGCTGTCCTTCTATATTTGTTTCTTTAGAGTGAACCGTTCCTTTCACCTGTCTTGGAGCAGAGGCTGAATTAGACCATGGTCTCTCACACGTTCATTTTAGTTGTTTGTTTTAGTGATTAGCAATTAATTACTATTTGGAGGGGAAGGGGATTAAATCTGTTTTTCCTTCCTCATAATTTTTTTTTCTGGTCAGCAGTTTGTTTTTATAAAGAGAAGATTTAATTTGAATACCTTGGCTAGAGGGATCTTTCCAAAGAGGTTCAACCTTAATACGAGTCTGGTTAGAATGCTTGAATAGAGAAGTTGTCTGCCTTAGGGTTTAAGTGCTTGGGAGTGTAAATTTTGGCCTAAGCCCATGAACTACTCTCTTGAATTCCCTGCCTTTGAGTTATAAATCCTGGTCCATGTACATATTCTCTTGTGAGCTGATCTTACTATAAATGTTTGAACTTTAAGCTTAAGTAAGTATATTAAAGTCCTATTTTTAATACTCCATATTTATTTATTGTTCCCTAAAGAAGTAGTACAGTTTTTTTGGAACCATTCAAAAGGGAGGTATGGTGGCATGTGAGCTATAATCCTCCTGTCCTTCTGTCGTAGGTGCCACTGTGTATCGACTCTTCCAACTTTGCTGTGATTGAAGCTGGGTTGAAGTGCTGCCAAGGGAAGTGCATAGTCAATAGCATCAGTCTGAAGGAGGGGGAGCAGGACTTCTTGGAGAAGGCCAGGAAGATAAAGAAATTTGGAGCTGCTGTGGTGGTTATGGCTTTTGATGAGGAAGGACAGGTAAGTGGTTTCTGTGGGCCTGGCATTGGTGCCATCCAGGTGAGAAAGCAGTGGGAGACACCCATGTCTGAAATAGCTATATATGTATACACACAAACATGTACATGCTTATCTGTGCACACAAATTTACACATACATTCATAATATACTTCTGAATATTTGATATGTTGTACAGTCTTTTTATCAGTAGGGAAGGGTTGAATTCCCTGGGTTGCTGGAACAGACAGCTGGTTTTGCATTTAGAAGAAAAAAAATAGAAACCTGACTTAATTCATTTTGTGCTGCTATAATAGAATACCACTAACTTAGTTGCTTTTCAAAGCAACTTAAAAATAAATTATTTAGTTTGGGCTCCTGATTGCAAAGGATTAGAGTCCTTGTCTTTCATGATAAGGAGGCTGGCAGCAGATAGGCCTCCCCGTTGAAAGCCCACACCCAGTGACACACCTCCTTCAACAAGGCCATGCCTCCTAATCTTTCCCAAACAGTTCCTCCAATTGGGACCAAGCATTCAAATAAATGATTCTGTGGAGGCTATTCTCATTTAAACCACAAACCACAAACTTGGTAGTTTTTAAATACTATAAATTAACTTGGCTCACTGTAATGGAGGCTAAAAACTTGAGAGCTTTTTGGCTGTTTTGCCCCTTCGTGAAGGGGCAGAGAAAAGGTGAGGAAGAGCAAGAGAGGGTGGAACTTGCCTTCATAATAAATCTACTTTTCGCCAGTGAGCCCGTTCCTTTGATGACAACATTAAATATCTAAGAAGGAAGGACCCTCAAACCTAGTCACTTCTCCCACTTTTAAATTCATTTTATTTTATGTTGTATGACTGTCATGTCTGCATCATGTACATTCCTGGTGCTCACGGTTGTCAGAGGATGTTGATCCCCTGGATCTAGAGTTTTGGATGGTTGTGAGCTGCCATGTGAATGCTGGGAACCAAGCTTAGGTCTTCTGTAAGAACAGCAAGTACTCTTAACTACTGAACCATCTTTCCAGCGCTGCTAGGCACCTCTTAAAGGTCCTACCACTCAGCACTAGCTCCATATCCTACTATATACTAAATAAAATAAAAAATTAAAGATTGAAATGTAAAAAAATTCTGAACAATATATAGGAGATCATTAATATTTTCATGTAGAAGCTGTTGCTAATCTCATGATGTGAAAAAGAAAATTCGTGAGTCTGTTCACATAGAAATGTAAAATTTTATGTGGCAGTTATTGTAGTTTCTGTATGTCAGAGGACAGAATGTCTGTAATAGAATGGACAGAGGAATTGAATGGACAACGTACATAGGAATACAAATAGACAATGAGCCTGTGAGAAGATACCCCAGTTTCTAATGCCTAAAGGAATAGTAAAGCAGTGATTAGTTTCTTTATCAAGCAGAAACAATGAGAAGATTGGTAAATGTCTTCTCACACCTGTGCTGCAGAGCCATGTTGAGGCTGTGGAAGGTGTGAATACTATGGTAGTTCCCTGGGTGATACGTTAGCTGTGGTTCTGCAGTTCTGCTCTTTCTAGGTCATAGAGCAGGCGTTCAGTTGTACCTGATAAAGTGTCCATGGGATAGTTAGTCAGAATTAATCAATAAGCCGAAAAAACACCAGTGCTTATGATAAAGCCTCTCCTCAAGATTTTAAGATAGGCTGTATATGTAAGGCTACATGCTCACTTCCACTCTAGTATGGTGGTAATCAGAAATTGACACAGCCGTCCATTGCTTGAAGAATGCTTAAATCTTGGTATATGCCACTTGCGGTTTTAAAAAAAGAATGTGATGACGGAGCCATGTAAAGAAGTGATTGACATGATTTAAATTTTATTCAGGAATATGTATGAGTCTGTATAAACAGAAAAAAGTTGGTAAGTGTCAACTAGGGTAGGATAGTCTGCCATGGGTCATGTTGGCCATAAGTGATACTATCTATATTTTTGTATTTTGAATAAAATTGTTTTGATCAAATTGTTGTTATTTTTATACAAGATGTGTTTTTGTCTTGAGAACAATTGAAATAATTCCAGAAGAGTACCAAAGAAAGATGGTTTATATTTATTAATTTATATTGGACCTTAGTTTGTATACCTAGTGGACACAGCACATAAAGTCAGTTGTTTTTCCTACCATCCTCTACCCTGGTCCACACACCTTCTTTACTTTTGTCCCCATCTCCCAGGGTAATTCACTTTAATTTTCAGCACATGTGCTACTGAACAGTGTGTAAGCCCAGCCGTGCCGTACGCAGTGATTGCTTCTCCTCATCCTCTCTGTGAGCTCTCTTACTTTTGCTAGCATCATTTCCATGCTCCGATTCTGCTAGTGTCTCCAGTATCAGTCCAGACATCGGATGGAATGCCACTTGAGTTTCCCCCTCCCCTTTTTCCTCTCTCCTTTCCTTCTTTTTGGGAATCAATTCTGCGGTCTTGGACATGCTAAGTAAGCACCCAGTCCTGTTATTTGAATTTCTCGGAGTCTTCTAGCAGGACCTCGGATGGCTACTTTGTAGGCTGACTACATAGCTGTTGTTATGGTTTTTGTTGTTTGTTTTAGTTCTGTACCCAACATCATCATTGAACTTGAATAGCTGATACTGTTTTCTAGTTGAGTATCTTGAATTTTCATGAGTTTATTTAAATGGTTTATTAAAATGAATTCTGTCTCTGGGGGACTGAAGTCTGGAGGTTTTTGTTTTCAGTTGGCTTTTACCTTGAAGAAGGTGACCTGACCTCAGACTTCTTGTTCTGACCTTCTCTGAAAGTTGCTTAAATCTGCTTCTCAGGCCCCTCTTTTTTAGTGGCTTCAATCGATAACTACCCCTGGGTAAGATGACATGATTGCTTCTATTCTTGGCCTTTCATTACAAGATGACTTGTAAATTTCTTATGTCAGAAAGAGATGTCCCCAGAATACCTTCAGAGGTAGAGATATGAAGAACCCAAGTTTATACTTTTCAGAGTGCGTGAAATTAAAAACTTAGGAATTGTTAATTTCTGGAGTCTTCCACATAATATTTTGGACTGCAGATAGCAGTGGATAACTAGTACCATGAAATATGAAAGTGTGGGTAAGAAAGGACTACTGTTTTTTCTTCTGCCCTCCTACAGAGCATATTGGATTAACAATAACCAGAAATGCGGAATGTAATTTGATGGGTCTGCTGTTTGGAGGTTTGATCTGAAATTAGCCTCCTTAATTTCAAAGCTGAGAAACATTGTAAGAGTGGTGTTCATTTACTTACTCCTTCATCTTCTCAGCATGGTATTGAGCACATACTCTAACAGGCCCTGCTCTGGGGTCAGTGAGACTGACATTCCAGCTAGTGGAGATAATAATAGCAAAACAACCAAGAATAATTAGGTATCTGGAAAGAGATACCTCAAGGAAAGGAGGAGGTGTGCTCATATGGAGGGAGTGATTAAGGCAGCCTCTGAGGGGACAGCTGACTGCCATACCTGTGAGCCGTGAAGTAGTTAGGCCTTGTGTGTTCTGGGCCGGGCAGCAATAGATGGACATGGAAAGACTCTGAGGTAACAACAGCATGGCAGGTTTTAGGAGCATCAAAGGAGGAGTGAGGGCAAATGGTAGGGCAGTGGTGGAGGTAGAGGTGCTGGCTGAGTGTGCTGGGCTGAGGAGCAGGGAGCATGGACCTTGCCAGAATGGGTTTTGCTTTTTAGGATCCTGCTTAGGAGGATGATGATAATTTGTAGGTTTTTAAAAAAGACTTTATTTTCTGTGTATGATTGTTGGCTGCATGTATGCATGTACACCATGTGTAAGCAGTGTCTACAGACCAAAAGAAAGAACTCTGCTCTTCCGGAATTCAAATGGTGAACCTTCTTGATGGTGTCGGGGGCCAAATTTGGTGTCTTGGGAAGTGCTCTTGAGTGTTAAGCCATCTTTCTAGTTTTTGTTTTTGTTTTGAGTAGGGTCTCATTATGTAGTCCTGGCTGGCCTGGAACTCACTATATAGGTCAGGCTGACCCTGACTTCAGAGATTCACTTGTCTCTGCTTTCCAGGTGCTGAAATGAAAGGTGTGTGCCATCATGCCCAGCACTAATTTGTAGTTCCAGCTTGTGCATGTGGTACCAAGCTTGTGCTATGGTAGGTGTGTGTGGGAAATAAATGCATGTGCTTGAATCTACTTTGAAGGAAGACCCAAGAAAGAACATCAGTGTTGTTTGTGTGAGTGGTTGGCACATTGCAGGCAGGTCAGGAGAGGCGGGACACTTTGAGGAGCTCTTTCCCAGTATTAGCCCACAGTGATTTGGCACTCACACATGTAACTCAGGGTGGCCCCTACATGCCACAGTCTGCCTCACCCTCCCAAGAGCTAGAATGACAGGTGTGGTGCTCAGCGGCTCGTTTTAATTTTCTTTAGTGGAATTTGATTTTTAAACCACATCTGTCTTTTTAGAGCCACTTTGTTAACATTTCATTCATGAAATTTTTATATAAGGAATAACATTGTTATATTAAAAGCAAAATCTTTAACTGATTCTTTTCTGAGATAAGTTGATGAATGTTTAGAGGTTTGACATTTGGGTTTCAAAGAAATACAGTCATTAAGATTTGAGTGGTTTTGATGAGTGACACATGCTGTTTCCATAGATAACAATTTGCTTTTCTATTGTAAACGACATTTCTGCTTGTTTCTTAGGCAACAGAAACAGATGTTAAAGTCAGTATATGCACCCGAGCTTACCATCTACTTGTGGAAAAACTGGGCTTCAATCCAAATGACATTATCTTTGACCCCAACATTCTTACCATTGGTACTGGAATGGAAGAACATAACTTATATGCTATCAATTTTATTCATGCAACAGGAATCATTAAAGTAAGTCTGGGTATTTTCTGTCTTTATCCAAGACACAGTTCAAATTTATCACCTTGGTTTAGTGCATGCTTAGAACTAACACATACTGATTTGCTGAGAATAGTAAGATTTCAGTCCATAGTAAATTGTTTTCTAAAATGTAGGACCTTTTATCTTTTATATAATGCTATTTTAGTTGTAGTATACAGCACATATGAGACTCTATTTCACATAGGATCTGTAGTCCATGGTAGATGAGTAGTTATGAACTGTAGAGTGACTTGCACTTTGCTGAAGTGTTCTGAGGCTATTGCCCCATATCTCTCCTTTCTGGGTATGCCTTATTTTCAATTCCATGAAGTAACTTTCATTCTGGTATCTATGGCTCTGAGACTTCATTATTGTTTTTGCTAATAATTTTATTACTTATATGCATGTTTAGTTTACATTATATCCATTGATTTTTTTGTGTGTGCTTGCCGGTATGCACAAATATACAAAATTTAGTTTTGGCCTGCTTCAATACTCAAGCTGCTTTTGTAGTCAGCCATGGACATGCCCTTGTGTAGACTTGACTCACATCCTCGGACGAGGATGACCTTGGAGACAGACAGCTCTTACTCTGTACACGACAGGTGTCTTATTAGTTCTCTTCAGTGCCATTTGTGTTCTCCTTTTTGTTTGTGATTTCTCTGCTTGATTTCTCACTGGTGCTAGTGCTTTCTAGTGTTCACAAGTGCAGGACACTTGTGCTGTGCCTAGTGGAGAAAATGCTTGTTGTATAAGCCTTATTCAGACCGTGAATTCAGTGTTAATAATTGAGATGTGCACCCCGAGTAAAGTGTCTTTCAGTATTTATTCATGTGTGTGTATGTGTGTGTGTGCCTGGTTGAGTTTTTTTACTACATTATTCAAGTGCCCAAGGAAGCCAAAGAGTATAAGATTCCCTGGAGCTGGAGTTAGAGGTTGTTATGAGTGCGTTGTTGTTTGTTTATAACTGGCATCTCTAGCACACAGGATGATTTTAACAGACACACAAAACAAGGTTGTATGTTGATGAGGTTATGAATATATGACCAGAGGTTGCCAGCTGCTTTGTTACTGAGGACAGAACTATTAGGGAATCACGAGAATTAACTATATGTTCACATAGTATGAATTATCCTCTTTTTGAGCTTAGTGTAATTCAAATCATAAATTGCTTATGCTGTTTCTCCCTATTTGGCCTCTTTTTTTCCCCTTTCCGGACTGGTTCTCACTGTGTAGCTTAGGCTGGTTTAAACTTATTAGCCTCCTACCTAATCACCTCTCCAGTGCCACCAGGTTCAGCCTTATTTGAAATTTTATTTGTGTTGCTATAGCTATATTTGTTCATTTTTATTAATGTATAATTATTAGCCTGAATCACAACTAGCCATTTTACTGTCTAACAATTATGAACATTCTTATATTAGGTTGGTGCAAAATTAATTACAGTTTCAGATCATGAATTTTAAACTACAACTAGGCTCAAACATATCTTCATTTATCAAAATAGGATCCATTCTAGTTAACCTGCTTTTACCAATGAGAAATAATTTCTTTTAATTCTCCTAGCATAAAAAAAAAAATCAGTTTTTTTTTTTTTGGTTTTTTTTTTTTTTTTGGTTTTTCGAGACAGGGTTTCTCTGTGGTTTTGGAGCCTGTCCTGGAACTAGCTCTTGTAGACCAGGCTGGTCTCGAACTCACAGAGATCTGCCTGCCTCTGCATCCCGAGTGCTGGGATTAAAGGCGTGCGCCACCACCGCCCGGCAAAAATCAGTTTTACAGGCTGATGGTTCAGCAGGTGGAGGCAGTTAGTGTCAGTCAAGCTGGTGATCTGAGTTCAGTCCCTAGGTCCTACACCATAGGGAAGCTGAGAACTGACTGTTGCAGTTGTGTTCTGACATCTTCACACACTGTGGATTGTCTGCATACTACTCCAGATAAATAAATGCAGCAAACACCTTTTTAAAAATCTAGTGCTTCAGGATTCAGTAACTCTTGGAAAGAATTTTCTCTGTCCTGCTGATTGTAGAAGATTTTTCTCTGCAAAAAGTTATCAAGATGTTTGAATAAATAGCATTCTGTTGGTGAGTGATCAGGTGAATATGGTGGATAGGCAGAAACTTAGTAATGCAGTTCTTTACTTTTGAAGCACTGATTGTGCGATGTGTGGTCAGATAATGCCGTGGAGAAGAACTGAACTCTTTTTTTTGACCAGTACCAGCTGCAAACATGCATAGTATAAAATAAATATTTTAAAAAAGCAAGTAATAAATCATTAGCAAAAAAACCATGAGGCAGGATTGCATATTAAAATGGCATTTAACATAACTGAATTTATCAAGAATGTATTTCAACATTAAGGAACAAATTTTAACAATGAACCCACCATTACTTTTTACCAATCTAACATGCTTGGCAAATGTGCTTGAGTTTCTCTGTAGCGTAGGGCTGGAATGGCTAGACAAGCTATGTCCCTGGATACTAAGAGTTACTGTTGTTATGACTAATGATTGGTGTTGTCATAGGCATCTCAGCCGCCTTCTATATTTTGTCCAGTTTGGGATGAACTAGAGAGCTTGTTCATTTAAGTCATGGAAGTCTAGCAGCTTCAGATGGGTCAGGAATGTATGCACATGTGCATTTATAGATGTATGCACATAATCTTTTGCTTTCTGCTCCACCCCTACCCCCCGGTCATTTATCCAGCAAACATTTCATGCCTCACCGTGATCATTTTAGAGGTAGACAGAGATAAAATAGGAATTTATATTTTTCCTACAAAGGTTAAAGTCTAGTAGGAAAAGCTATTTATGAAGCAGTGCTTAGAAGTGCCACTGTAAAAGGTGATAGATTTACATAATAAAAGACAGAGTACTTGATACAGTGATGTAGCAAACTGTTCTTTGCTTAGTAACAAACTCAGAGTTACTTTGGACTTTCTTTTTACTTCTCCTTTATACAAAACTTACAAGGTATGACTTATTGTGACTTTTGACAAAATAAGAGAATCTTTTCATGCTTTTACATTTTTGCCAGGAAACATTACCAGGAGTCAGAATAAGTGGAGGTCTTTCTAACTTGTCCTTCTCCTTCCGAGGGATGGAAGCCATTCGAGAAGCAATGCATGGTGTTTTTCTCTACCATGCGATCAAGGTATGGTGAAACCAACTTTAACTTAGGTACTGGGAAGATGGCTCTGTGGTACAGTATTGGCTGAACTAGCCTGAGGACTTGAGTTGAAATTTCACAGCCTGTGTGACTTAGTGTAGTAGTAGTTCCTACTGTAGAATGAGAGAGGAAGACAGATCTAGCATGTCCAGTAGTAAACAAGAGACCCTGTCTGAAGCAAAATGAAAGGCAGGAACCAATACCCAGTGTTGTCCTTTGACCTCCGTACATGTGCCACGGTACATGTGTACCCACAGATATATATCTATATCTATTTGCACATACATTGTAAACACAATGATTTTTCAAAGAATTAAAACAAAAATGATGGCACTGTACTTTGCCTTTTAGCAGGCTTACAGACTGAGTTACAGACAGGTTAACTAGCCTGCTTCTGTCTTTAAATGAAGCTTCAGTGGAACAGAGTGCCCTCATCCCTTCTCATGTGTTTTGTCTAGGGCTGCTTTTATACTGCAGCAGAGTTGAATAGTGACCAACTATGTCATAAAGTATTTTTTCTGATCCCTCATTTAGGGTATCAGTAGAATTTCTCATTTTCCTTTCTGTTGCCCTTAGTTTGGCATGGACATGGGGATAGTCAATGCAGGAAATCTACCCGTGTATGATGATATCCAAAAGGACCTTCTTCAGCTCTGTGAAGACCTCATCTGGAACAAAGACCCTGAAGCTACTGAAAAACTCTTACGATATGCCCAGGTAAAGGGAAAAGTGTCCAAAGAGTGGCTTTGCCTTCCTTAGAATTTATCACTCACTGGCAGCTACTGAACTTTTATTGTAGAATAGGAGCTAATGTAGAATTGTGTCTCTGGGTCATTAATCATCATAGTTACAGTTTTTATAGTGCTCTAGAGAAGGTATTGCAGTTAGGTCGAGGAGGGAGAAATAGATCTTGTCTAGATTGCTTTAGTGTTTTGAACTTAGACTTTTCTAAATTGATCTTTTTTAATGTGAGGTAGTCTCCCTCCCTCCCTCCCTCCCTCCCTCCCTCCCTCCCTCCCTCCATTTCTCTCTCTCTCTTTTTGTTTTTGTTGTTACTGTTTTGAAACAAGATTTTTCTCACAGAGCTCCTCCTGCCTCTGCCTCCTGAGTACTGGGTTTAAAGGCGTGTGCCACCACTACCTGGCTCTGTCATTTTTATATACACTTGTATATATAAATACACCTGGAGGGAGGAGAACATACAAAGTAGTGTAATCCACCCAATGTGCCAGGATACTTACCTTGTGCCTTTATCCTTTTTCTGAGTTTCTGAGACTCAGCTTCTGAAGCCCTTCATCACTGTCTCAGTTGGTGGTGTCTGTTCCCTCAAATTTCCATGTTACTGTTAGACAGCCTTCATTCAGCCCCTGATGTGCGCTTTTAGAGTTTTCCCTTCTTTATGTTTTCTTCCTTCCTCTCTTACATGATAAAATCTCAGTGATCAAGATCTTACACTGCTTAGTTGATCTGGAACTCAAAATCCTCCTGCCTCAGCTTTCCGAGTGTTGGGATTATAGAACTGTGCCATTACTGCTCATGGCTCCCAGATTCTTGACGATTGATTGTATGTGGGGGATGTTGATCCTTCCTGAGAGCTGGAATGTTAGAGAATAACTTTTATATCCTAGAAATATTTTGATGTCAGTTGTTATTTTTTAGGGGAAATAAAAGTATGCTGTTGCTTTTCTCTACTGAAAGTTCAAATTTTAAAAGATTTTTTGTTCTTTTTCAACATTCATGTTGAACACCCTGGGGGTCTGGAAACTTAAAGGAAGGAAAAGGCACTTTTCTTTTTTTTTTTCCTGCAGATAGTTCACTGTGTATCATTTGTACTCACTTTTTATCTTAATTTTCATTCAGACTCATGGCAAAGGAGGGAAGAAAGTCATCCAGACAGATGAGTGGAGGAGTGGCTCCATTGAAGAGCGTCTTGAGTATGCTCTCGTGAAGGTGAGTTCCAGAGCCTGTACAGGAAGTCATGGCTCCCTGGTGTCATTGCTGACAGCAGTTGAGGGGGTGCTGCCCTAGACATCTGACCATTGATTCTTAGCCTTCAGGAATCCGTTTCCCAGTGCCGTTTGACAGTGTCTAAAGACGTGTTCAGTTTTCACAGATGGGTGTGGAAGATGCTTTGGAAGTCAGTGTCTGCAGTGCACAGGGCAGGCCCACATACACAGCAAGGACTTGCCCAGGCGGTTGATAGTTAGGAGCCCGAGAACCCACCCCAGACCAGGTTCCTTTTGGTCCGTCAGCAGGGCCGTAGGGGCTCTTCCACAACAGATGGAATTTTAAATAAGTCATCTCTGGACCTCAGTGTCTACATTTGAGAGTCTGGAAAGTCCCAGAGTGTTTTTAAAAAGGTTCTAGAATTTAAATTTTAATTCTTAGACTTCTGAGAGTACATATTTCATTTTGTGAACTATTCATTTGTGTCCTACAATCCTTGCGGATCCTTAGCTTAAGAGTCAGCAAATCAGGCAAGTCGGGAGGAAAGTTCCATATTTTTGTTTTAACTTCACCTGAGAGTCTTTCTAGTATTGAATCCTTTTCTAGCCAAGTAGTGTTATAGTGAGAGAAGATACTTATTTGTTCATTTATTTGAAATACGATCTTACTGTATATCTCTGGCTGACCTGGAGCTTACCGTGTAGATTAAGCTGGACTTATATGTAGAGATCCACTTGCCAGTGCCTCCTGAGGGCTAGGATTAAAGACATGCATCACCACACCTCATTGAGCTAATAGATACTGATTTTACAGAGATATTTATTAGCACATGATCAGTTGCTGAGGATTGCGCTCAGATCTTCACACATGATAAGCACCTACTCCACCACTGAGCTACATTCTCAGTGTCTTCACTAACACCTCCTTTTTCTGAGTTACTTCCTATGACTAGCGAGGCTAGTCATTACAATCACTGTAATGCTATTTATTTACAGTGATTGTCCAAGTAAACAGGAGGTTGGTGCTTTTGTGGTTCTGTGAGGAAACCAAAACTTAATAAATTACCTGCATTAGTGATGAGAACCAGGACTCAAATTCTGTCAGACTGATTCTGGGATTTGTGCTCTTAAACATCTCTTTGATTCATTCTTTCATTTTGACCTTTACAATTGCTTGTTTGTTTCCTTCCCCCTCCTTCTTTTTCTTTTAAGGGTATTGAAAAGCATATTGTTGAAGATACTGAAGAAGCCAGGTTAAACCAGGAAAAATACCCCCGACCTCTGAATATAATTGAAGGGCCTCTAATGAATGGCATGAAAGTGGTTGGTGATCTTTTTGGAGCTGGAAAAATGTTTCTACCTCAGGTTGGTGAAACAGAGAAATTTTAACAAATCTCTTTTTTTTTCTTTCTTTCTTTTTTTTTTTTTTTTTTTTTTTTTTTAGTAAATATTGAGTTTGAGTATTTTCTGAGTTTGTGGTATATGCAAAACTTGACAGTATTATCTGACCACTCCTTTTCTGGGTGTATTTAGGAACCATCTCTTGCCAGTTGCTCTTTGGAGTGCGTAGTGGTTAGAAAGCTTGCAGAGATCCTGTGTACCATAATCTGCATGTTCTGTATTTCCATGCCCCCTCTACCTAAGATACATGTAATGTTAATACTAACATTTGACTTGACAAGACAGTGGCTATCTTTTTTGTTGTTTTTTCAAGACAGGGTTTCTCTGTAGCTTTGGAGCCTGTCCTGAAACTTGCTCTGTAGACCAAGCTGGTCTCTATCCACCTGTCCTGCCTCCCAGGTGCTGGGATTAAAGGCATGCGCCACCACCACTTAGCTTGCCAGTGACCGACTTTAAGAATACATATTTTGAAAATATATTATTCTTTTAAATAGTGGAACTTGAAATGATATGTTTTATGTAAAACCAGAATTCTTTATTAAAGCAACTACTTAAAACTATTTTAACAAATCCTTGCTGAGCATCTAGATTTGGGGCTCTGAAGCATATAAATAGCAAAGAGAGCCTCTTTTATAAACCTCATTTTAGGTGAGTTAAAATACTGGGGATTTATAGAATGATGGGAATGCATCATGTTGAACATGGAATTTAAAAGATGCATAGAATTCAGAGACACAGAGACTTCAGGCAGAAAAAGAAACCAAGTAAAAGTTCAGGAACAGAAATTTTAACCTTTTGTTTGTGTTTGGTTTTCCTCTTACTATGCCTCATTTATTGGTGTTCCCACAGGGTTCTTTTTGTTTGTTTGTTTGTTTTTCGAGACAGGGTTTCTCTGTGGTTTTGGAGCCTGTCCTGGAACTAGCTCTTGTAGACCAGGCTGGTCTCGAACTCACAAAGATCCGCCTGCCTCTGCCTCCCGAGTGCTGGGATTAAAGGTGTGTGCCACCACCGCCCGGCCTCCCACAGGGTTCTAATTCCTCATCCTGCTCATTATAGAAATCTGGGACAGTCAAAATTATGCATTCTTAATTAGTACTGAAGCTTCATGGGTCAACAGTGACAGTCATGTGATGATTTGCTAATGATGCCTAATTCTGCTTTTTTCCAGGTTATAAAGTCAGCCCGTGTCATGAAGAAGGCTGTTGGACACCTTATCCCTTTCATGGAAAAAGAAAGAGAAGAAGCAAGAATTCTTAATGGTTCAGTTGAAGAAGAGGCAAGTTATTTTGTTCAGGCCTGAAGCCTTTACAGGAGTTGCTCTGGAAGATTATTGTTTTTGTGGGGTTGGGAGCCTCATCAGTAAAGCTTTTATGCAGTTAGTTGGTGCACTCTTTGCACCTTTACATGGGTAGACCCAGAGCATTGAACTCAGATCTTTAGGTTTTCACGGCACGTATCTTGCTCTGCTAGGTTGGCCATGTTCATGTTTTAAATGTATCATGTTTGCTTTTAGGAAGCTCTTCCCCAAATACTTCTTAGTTATCTCCTTGGTACCACTTGTAGCATTTATCCTTGCTGGCTACACCACAAGAGTCAGCCACTAGCCTTTTTACTTTATTTAGAGCACTGTGTAGTTCAGACAACTTTAGCCTTGAGAATTCTAAATTTGCAGTTGGCTGAATTGGAGAGATGCCTGCCTTGCATATCTACCTTTTCATTTTCTTGTTTCATCAGTGTGCAAAAGAACTGTTTTAGAGAAATAAAAGATGAGTCTACATTCCCTGCACTAGGCTGCTTTGAAAATTTCAGGGACATCTTTAGTTAGCCAGCTCCAACCTTGTAGCAGAATTTCTTTTGGACCACCAACCAGCTCCCAAATCATAACATGGAGACTTAATACTGTTGGATCCTAGAGTCCAATCACTGTGGAGGAGTCTCTCACCACCACAGCTGATGTAAAAGGATGAGAATTTTCTGTCATGACAGGGTCTTCCAGCATTCGGGAGGCTAGAAAGACCCCGAATAGCTGGTACAGACTATTTTTAAAGGGAAAAACCACAGAAGGAAGGGGTGTGTGGGAGTTGTTCTTTAGCTGTTATGATTGGCTTATTCAAAAGGGCTATTACCAATAATTGGCTGGAGAGTGGTTGCCAGATCAGATGAGGTAAGGGAAAACATCTGAGGGTCACTTTGCCCCTTTCCCGGGGCCTAAGTCAAAACATCAGTCACTGAGTCAACAACTAAGGGTTATCTTGCCCCTCTTCAATAACTGAGTTCTATTTGGAGAACATTCCCAACATTTCAGTAAGTGTGTGGGCAATTGTTAGGTCCTTGGTTCCCGGGGGAAAGGGGGAGGGGGGAGCATTACTGCTGAGACTGAGAGGGCTCAGAATTGTCTTAAAGTTCTACTTTAAGACTAGTTATGAATTCTCGACCTTATCTTATGCTTGTTTCTTGCTACCTCTTATTACTTAACCTGTTTCTCTTTATCTATGTTTTGCCTTGGGGCTTTTTGCCGTTCTTTCCTTCTGTATGTACTACTCCATCTAGCTGACTGATGGCTCCTGGCTTCCCTGGAGTGTCTCTCTTTCTCCTTTCTCTCCTCTCTCTTTTTTTTAGATTTCTCCTACTTATTCTCTCTGCCCGCCAACCCCACTTATTTTTCTCCTGCCTAGCTATTGACCATTCAGCTCTTTATTAGACCAATCAGGTGTCTTAGGCAGGCAAGGAGCAACAAATGCAACACATCTTTACACAATTAAACAAATGCAACAGAAAAACTTTGGCATACCTTTACACAGTTAAAGTAATAGTGTGTAGCATAGCAAGTGTAACATATTCTATGGCACCCTCTCTTTTCTAACTCTCAGCAATATTCCTTGGCAGTTTCAGGGTTAAGGATGTGGTCTTTAGCTGTAGGACTGTGTCTGTGACTGCTGACTCTTTTTCAGATGCTAGAACCTATGAGCTTGGTTGAAATCCCTGGGCTGACTTGATAGGCACGCCTCTTTTGAACTTCTGGGTGGCACAGAGCTTCAAGTAGAGACTCTCACTTGGGTCCCTGACCTACCTTTGAGGGGGTTCTGGTATTTATTCCTCTGCCATCTCTGTGTGGCTCTTGAGAACCAAATGGTCTTCCTGGCGATCCCCCCGCCCCGCCCCATGCTCAGCTGCTTGTCTCACTTTACAGGACCCTTACCAAGGCACCATTGTGCTGGCCACTGTTAAAGGTGATGTGCACGACATAGGCAAGAACATTGTTGGTGTGGTGCTAGGATGCAATAATTTCCGGTAAGTTGAGACCTCACTTCATCCCCTTCATGTTTAAAAAAAATGTGAATCAAATGTTTCACTGGGTGAGAGGGATGGGGTAGCATATGGCCATTGATAAGGTATGCTTGTTTTTGTCTACAACTGTGAACACAGCTTTTTTTGTAGGCTCAAAATTACATATCTCTTATGTATTTGTTAAGGACATAGAGGATAAGAAGTGTTCCCTAGAGGTCAGGCAGCCCGGAGTCTTCCTGAGAATCTATATTGGACATAGTCTCTAATAGTTGCTTATCAGGCTTGTTTTAGGGTTTCTATTGCTGCGATGAAACACCATGACCAAAACACAAGTAGGGAATGAAAGGGTTTTTCAGCTTATACGTCCACATCACCAAAGTAATTCAGGACAAGAACTCAAGCAGGGCAGGATCATGGAGGGATCTGCTTCACTTGGCTTCACTTGGCTTGCTCAGCCTGCTTTCTTATAGAACCCAGACCACCAGCCCAGGATTTGTACCACCCACCATGGCCTGGGCCCTCCCACATTGATCACTAATTGAGAAAATGCCTTACAGCTGAATCTCATGGAGGCATGTCCTCAACTGAGACTCCTTCTTCTGATGACTCTAGCTTGTGTCAAGCTGACATAAAACCAGCCAGTACAGGGCTTCTCATGGCCAGTATGTACCATTTTCCACTCAGCAAACTGCCAGGGTTCTTAAGAGAGCAGGCTTTCTAGAAAGACTTTGTCCATATTAGTCTCGACATCCTCTGTTTTTCTTGGTGATTATACTAGTATCCTATAAGGAACAGAACTGATGGAATGAACTAATGTAGATCTATATATCAGTAAAGGATTTATTAGAGAGGCTTATAGGCTGTGGTCCAAGTAGTTTAGTAGTGACTGTTTTCTGACAGAAAGGCCAAGGATCCAGTACTTATTCCGTCAAGGAACCTGGATATATCAGCAGCCCCAGTCTTATGCTGGGGTACTAAAGAGCTGCCAGTTTCAGTCCATTGAGGAATCCCAGAGAAGCAGATTTAACTACTTAGAGTGGGGACAAGAGATGGGGAGCAAAAGATCCCTTCTTCTAAGTCCTTTCATATGGACTACCACTAAGAAATGGTCCAGATTTAGGGTGAATTTTCTGACCTCAAATGGATCCCAAATCCAACAAAGAAAAATCCCTCACAAGTAGAACACCAAGCTGGGTTTTAGATTCTTCTCTTCTCTTCTCTTCTCTTCTCTTCTCTTCTCTTCTCCTCTCCTCTCCTCTCCTCTCCTCTTCTCTCTCTCTCTCTCTCTCTCTCTCTCTCTCTCTCTCTCGATTTATTTATTATATATACAGTGTTCTGCCTGCATACCAGAAGAGGGCACCAGATCTTATTACAGATGGTTGTGAGCCACCATGTGGTTGCTGGAAATTGAACTCAGGACCTTTGGAAGAGCAAGAAGTGGTCTTAACCGGTGAGCCCCCTCTCCAGCCCCCGTTTTAGATGCTTTCTAAAGTATCTAAATATCTAAAGTGTAGTCAAGTTGACAACCAAGATCGGCCATCACAGTGGTGATATAGTTTTTGGAATGATAAATTCAGGTAAAACCCCTTTTTGCTTTCTCATAATAAATATTCATAACAAAAGCTAACGGCTTATATTAAGTTTATATTTTTCCCACTTCACAATATGTTTCAATGAAAAAATCACTAATGCCTGTCCTGACTTGTGTCTAGCTAGCAGTCCTTTGGAGTCGTGGGCTGCTTTTCATTGAGCCTCTTCTCTGATGGTGTAGTCTGTTGGTTATGGTCGCTTGTGTTCTCATTTCTGCTGTCAGCTAACAATGAGCCTTCCCAGCCTCTTTCGCCTCAACACTTAACCCATCTGTCTGGAACACTGATTAGACTGCACTCAGGAAGGCTGAGGCTGGTTGTGTTAGGAGAACAGCTTTCCCATGGGCAGTCAGTCTTTCTGCCTTTCTTTCCAGCCTTTGTCTTAAGATAGCTTTAGTTTACCACCTATTTATTGTTCGTTAAAATGACAGGTCAGCCTTTGTTTTGTGATGTCACTTTCTTTTTTTTTTTTTTTTTAATATTTATTTATTTATTATGTATACAATATTCTTTCTGCGTGTATGTCTGCAGGCCAGAAGAGGGCGCCAGACCTCATTACAGATGGTTGTGAGCCACCATGTGGTTGCTGGGAATTGAACTCAGGACCTTTGGAAGAGCAGGCAATGCTCTTAACCACTGAGCCATCTCTCCAGCCCTGTGATGTCACTTTCTTGAGAGTATTGTTTTGGCCTGCATCAACTTGTAATGGCTCGTTTGTATTTCAAATTTCCATTGAGAAATAAGTTAGAATCTTCAGAAGTGTTTTTGATCAGATTATTTATTGCATGACAATTGATTTTAGATATACTGTCTCAATTATGAAAAAGACAGTTATATGCTTTCCCTGTTTTACACTATATGTATAAGAAAATCTGCATATCAACAGAGAAAAACAGTATACGTCAAGGGCAGCTGATGCTTATGCACCAGCCTCTCTCAGTACCTCACAGGGTCATCAGTAAGAGGCCTTTCACTTGTGATATTTTGATGGAAGAACTTTCAGAAATTTAGGGGTTTTTTTTGGGGGGGGGGGTTGTTTTTTTAAATAGAAATAGGCTAGGTGTGGTGGTGTTTGTCTTTAATCCCAGCACTCAGATGAAGAGGTGGACGGATCTAGCAGGTGGTGGCGCATGCCTTTAATCCCAGCACTCAGGGGACAGAGGCAGGAGGATCTCTGTGAGTTTGAGGCCAGCCTGGTCTACAAGAGCTAGTTCCAGGACAGGCTCCAAAACTACAGAGAAACCTTCTCTTGAGTCCCTCACCCCCTAAAAAGAAGCAGGTGGATCAACAGTGAGTTCCAGGCCAGACGAGACAGGTAGACAGACAACAAAAGCTTCCTTCTAGGTCCTTTTATGTGGGCTTCCACCAGAAGATATAGCCCAGATCTAGTACTTCAGACAATCCAGATTTGGGACGGAGAGTAGAGGGGGGGAGAAAAAGAGGGAAAAAAAAGCAACAGCAGTAGGCCCCGTGAGTACTGCTTAAAAAAAAGAAAGAAAGAAAGAAAGAGAAAGAAAGAAAGAAAGAAAGAAAGAAAAAAGAAATTCACAGCTAGGCGCTGGATTGCTAGAATGTTTCCATCTAGTGGCAGGATGTGTGAATTGCAGGTGCAGCAGCGGTTTGGAACTGACAGGTTCCTGAAAGAGGATCTGCAGTTTAGTACAGTTGTTTTCTTTCATTTGTGCCCCCTCCCTTCTCCCTTCTGTCCTCTATCTCTCTTTTCTATTTTTAATTAACAAGGGAAGCATATTCCTAAGTTACATACTTAAAAGTGCAGTATGACATTAAACCCATGTATACAATGTATATTGAGCAGGCATTTGTCTCCTTATACATTCTTACTGAAGTGGAGCGTTCACTCTTCTATCCCAGTTCTTCATAATTTTGCAGTAGGCTGTTGTGTACTGCTATGGAGCATGAGAACTCTTCTCCTGTTTAACTTGTAGTTAAGCCTGCTGTCCAGCTCTTTATCCTCCTCTTTCCTCACTCTGTGTAGCCTTTGGTAATTTCTTTTCAGCTTTCTTGTATGTTAGGGTCAACTTTTAAGTTTCTTCACATGAGGCAGCATATTTCTATGTCTGGATTATTTGACTTAGCACAGTGTCCATCAGCTCCATCTATTTCCTGCAAATGATGGAATTCCATTTTTTTTATGGCTGAGTATTAGTTCATTCCATGTATGCATTTTCTTTACCCATTTATCTGTAGGTGGAGGCTTAAGTCATCTTGGCTTTATATGCACAGTTTTACACTTCTTACCATGATAGGCTGTGTTACCACAGGGCCAACAAGGGGCTGACATCTACCACAGTGTCAGAGAGCTGACAGGCACAGTGCACTCTCCTACCCACTCAGCTACTAGTAGACGCCTGGCTTGTTTCACTACATTGTGACTGCTGGTGTCACAGGTAATACTCCACAGCCATTTTAATGGAAAGGGATCATAAAAGCCCCTTGTTGGCCCTGTGGTAACACAGCCTATCATGGTAAGAAGTGTCATGTTAAAGCGTTGATATCAGGGATGTAAAAAAGAACAAGGAAAGCACGGGGATCATGCTTCAGAAGCACAAGAATAAAAATAAAAAATGTCAGGCTGGAAAGTAAGCCTTCAAAATATTGGCCTAAGGGGGCACATTTCAGATTGATACTGTAGTATGTAGTGCATTCATAAAATAGAGTATTATTCTTTCAAAAACTAATGTGGGGAATAGGGATTTAGTTCAGTTGTAGAGCACAAGGCCCTGAGTTTGGTCCTCAGCTCTGGAAAAACCAAAGCAAAACAGAACTAATGTGAATGACTTCTGATGCTGTGGTTCCAGTTTATGTTAGAGCAGCATTTAATGGCTAAAATTAAAATGTTCATTTCAGCTTTGTTTCTTTTGGGCTCTTGTTAATTTTCTGACATCTTGTTTCTTGCCTCAGAGTTATTGATTTAGGAGTCATGACTCCCTGTGATAAGATACTTCAAGCAGCTCTTGACCACAAAGCAGGTATGTGCCATAGTCTTCTGGGTGTAGGCTTCAGCATTACTCTGAGAGTCTGTTGGAGAATGGTAAAACCCAGCCCATGTGGGGGTCTGAGGAACACCTAGGCAGCCAGCTCCAGTGCGGGCTGTTGGGACTTGAAAGAGGTGTGTGAATGTCCATGGCTTGCTGAGTTCTAGAGGTTCAGTGGACTGCCTTCTTAGAGGAAAGCAGTTGAGGTGGATTTTTTTCCCCCTTGTATGTAGTTGTTTTTATGGTCAAGTCTGAAATTGTTACAAACCAGAGATAATTTTTATTGTGTGGTATCTTAAATCTGTTACAAATATGTTGCTGCAAATTTATGTTTCATTTCTTTTTTTTTTTTTTGAGACAGAGTTCCATTTCTTATTACCCAAAGCAAATACTAAATTCCTAGAATTAGAAATTAACATGTTAGGCTTTCTAATCTTCAGTACAAAACTTTTTAAAGTGGTCTTTTTTCTCTCTCTTTTTCATTCTCACTGGTCCTTCTTTCTTTCTTTTGGCAATAGATATAATTGGCTTATCAGGACTCATCACTCCATCCCTGGATGAAATGATTTTTGTTGCTAAGGAAATGGAGAGGTTGGCTATAAATATTCCGTTGTTGATAGGAGGAGCAACAACTTCAAGGTAAGTCAGCAAGATGAGCGCCATCTCACTTTATGTACTCTTAAATGCCAGTGTTTATGACTGGGGAAATCCGCTGTTCTCTCCTTTGCTTTGCTGTCTTCTGTTGCACAGCTTTCCGTTCTTTCTCTGGGGAAGTGTTAGAAGGCTTCTAGAGCCCACTCTGCGAAACTCCTTTGTGAGTCCTTCCCTGTGCCCTGCTTTGGATTCTGTTGACTTGTTGCTATTTTCTTAGTCCTCTTAGGCCTGAGGAGTTGTTCTGACAGGAGGACTTTGGGGAAAACTTTAGGATAAAAGGCATAAAGAGGACAATGTTCACATTGAGTCACACGGGCAGTGTTTGGTATACGTTTTTCCTGAGATCACGGCCATGGAGAGAGACACTGTGGCAGCATCACAGATATTTGATGGTTGGCAGGGGATAATATCAAGCTGGAGCATTGAAATTGGTGGTTCCGCAATGTGCAGGGTTTTTTTTCTAGTGCAAAAGTGACATAATAGTTTGTCATAGGTATTTCTAGAGTTCCTAAGAGAGTGAGAGGTTTCTTTTGAGGAATTGGCTCTTGAGACTGTGGCTGGAAGATCTGGAGTGTATAGGCTGGAGACTCAGAGCAGTCTTCAGGCAGAACTTCTTTGCACAAAAGGCAGAGGGTTAATGAGACTGCTTAATGTTTTTCTGAAGGTTTTTAGCTAATTAATGAGGTTAACTCACATTATGAAGAATAATCTACTGAGTTTACAGGTTTAAATATTTATTGCTTCTAAAAAATATCCTCATAGCAACATTTGGGCTGCATGCAGTATGACCAAAAACTGATCGCATGGCACACCCAATCTCACACATAGAATTAACCATCATATTACTTATAATGTGACAGAGAGTTTTAGCAAGTAGCAAAATGTTTACATTGTTATTCATTAATTACTTTTCATTGAAATAATTTGACAATTTGGCCATTGTTGCTGATATTAGAAAATTGAATTTGTTTCCCACTGACTGACTTATTAGCCAAGTGGCAGAATTATTTTTAAGGGATCTGACTGATCACTGATAAGAGGATTTATTTGTGTGTGTGTTTGTTTTCTTTCTGTACTGCGATTTGTACCTAGTACTTGTGCATGCTAAGCAAGACCTCTTATCACTGACCAGCCTCCATTTTACTTAAAATCTTTTACTTTTTACTTTTGAGACAGATTCACACTAAATTGCCTAGTCATGCTATCTTAGGCTTGTCTGGAATTTGCAGTGTTTTGTCTCAGTTTCTAAGTAGCTCTGATTATAGGTCTGGACCACCAGGCCTCATAGATAACTTGGGCTTTATGAACTTGACCTGGTCTTTTGCCTACTGTGGTGACTATTACCAAAATAAAGACTTGAAAGTTGTAATTATGTAACATACTAAATCTCTACTTTAGAAGTTATGGCACCTGGGATGCTGGGTTCATAATTAAAATATTTTATATTCGTTAATCAGGAATTCATTACTTGTGATGATTTGAAGTTGACTACATGGTTCATTTTCTTTCTTTCTTTTCTTTCTTTCTTTCTTTCTTTCTTTTTTCTTTTGGTTTTTCGAGACAGGGTTTCTCTGTCACTTTGGTGCCCATCCCGGAACTAGTTCTTGTAGACCAGGCTGGCCTCGAACTCCCAGAGATCTGCCTGCCTCTGCCTCCCGAGTGCTGGGATTAAAGGCATGCGCCACCACCGCCCGGCTTTGGTTCGTTTTCTTATAAGAGCTACCAGACAAAAGAAAAAAAGCCCTCCTCAGTCTGTTGGTTGCTTCTTTTCCAATGATTGAGGGTTCAGAGGTGCCTAATTCTTCCCTTTGCCAGATGACAGCTCAGGACTTGTATGGTTTTTGAGACAATTTCTGAGGGTATAAGCTGTGACTTTTCCAGTAGCAACATGAACCAGACTTGTGCTCCTAGACATTTGAGGGTCTTTAGAGAGGCCGAAAGTTAGGGGTCAGAGATGGGCGAGAATTTACTTGGAGTGTACCTTTTCAACCTGGATTTGTAAAAGAGAAAAACCAACTGTTATTCTATCTGCAGAATGGGCAATGTGGTATCACATATGGGAACTTATGAAAATCTGGCTTGTTATGGGCAGAACTTGACTGGGTATTTATTCTGAAAGTCAGTTGTTAAATTTAATGTATAACTAATTGCTATTGTTTTAGTTAGGATTTCTATTGCTGTGGTGAAACATCATGACCAAAAAGCAAGCTGGGGGGGAAGGGCTTATTCAGCTATACTTCCACATTGTTGCTCATCACCGAAGGAAGTCAGCATAGGAACTCAAATCGGGCAGGAGCTGGTGCAGAAGCCATGAAGGGGAGCTGCTTACTGACTTGCTCCTCATGGTTTGCTCAGCCTGCTTTCTTATAGAACCCAGGACCACCTGCACAGGGCTGGCCCCACCCACTGTGTCCTGGGCCCTCCCCCATTAATCACTAATTAAGAAAATGCCTTACAGTTGGATTTCATGGAGGCATTTCTATTGGCAGAGTTTTTTGGTGTCCCAGCAGGCACTCCTGCATGACCACAAAGAGGCTTATTATTAATTATAAATGCTTGGCCAATAGCTCAGACTTGTTACTAGCTAACTCTAACCTATTTATATTAACCTACATTCTGCCATGTGGCATTACCTCTCTTTCATCTTGCATCTCCTGTTTCATCTCCATGTCTCATTGGCGACTCTTGACTCCTGCCTTCTTTTCTCCAGTGTTCTTAGACTGATTTTCCCACCTAACTTTATCCTGTCAAGCTGTTGGCCAGTTGATGGAGGAAGGTCGTTGGCTAATAAAGAAACTGCCTTGGCCTATTTGATAGGCCACCCACCTAAAGGCTGGCCTATCAAATGGGCCAAGGCAGTTTCTTTACTAGCCAATGACCTTCCTCCATCAGCCAGTCAACTTCTTTTTTTTTTTTTAATATTTATTTATTTATTATGTATACAATATTCTGTCTGTGTGTATGCCTGTAGGCCAGAAGAGGGCACCAGACCCCATTATAGATGGTTGTGAGCCACCATGTGGTTGCTGGGAATTGAACTCAGGACCTTTGGAAGAGCAGGCAATGCTCTTAACCGCTGAGCCATCTCTCCAGCCCCCCCAGTCAACTTCTTTATTAAATGAATGATAGTGATGTGTATTCACACAATGTAAAGGAATATTCCACACATTTCCTCAGCTGAGACTCCTTCCTCCTTGATGACTAACTTTTGTCAAGTTGACACAAAACCAGTCAGTAAACTACAAAATAGGTTTTGGAATCCCCCCTCCTTTTACAATTTAACGGAAAGTCACATTGCTCTAAGATAGGATAATTTTCTGAGTGTCTGTGTGTATTTAATCACTCAGAGGTAAGGTAATTTTATCTTTTTCTTTACTTTGACTATGAGCTTTCGGTAGGGAAACTTAAAATATAGGTTGTGTGTTAGATTTCATGGATGCATTTTTAGATACTGTTCTGTTCTGATTCCATCTTGATTTCTCCATCTTTATTTTTTCTCCTTTGTTTAAAAAAATGTAGTGTGTGTGTGTGTGTATGTGTGCGCACGTGCGCGTGCGTACGTGCATAAGAAATAGTCAGAGGACAACCGAGAGAGAGAGAGAGAGAGAGAGAGAGAGAGAGAGAGTCAGGAGAGAGAGAGAGTCAGGAGAGAGAGAGAGTCAGGAGAGAGAGAGAGAGACAGAGGACAACCTTGAGAGAGAGAGAGAGAGAGAGAGAGAGAGACACACAGAGGACAACCTTGAGAGAGAGAGAGAGAGAGAGAGAGAGAGAGTCAGAGGACAACTTGAGGATAAGAGCTTTTCTTTCTACTACGTGGGTCCAGAGGATTGACTTTATGTCACCATGTTTGGCAGTAAGTGCCTTTTACTCATTGAACCCTCTCTCTGGCTCTCTTCATCTATCTTTATGTGGGCTCTAGGGATTGAACTTCGGTGGTCAGGTTTGTGCAGTGAGCACGTTTACTGGCTGAGCAATTTCACCAGTCTAGTTAAAGCACAGCTATGCAGTGTTTATATACAGTACTTTAATTCTAGATTAGGCCATGATATGAAATAAAAGATTACAGTAGACTTTGACTATGAAAATAGCAGATTTAGAAGAAAGAAGGAACAGGAAACACACGATGGGAACATCTGTAAGCATCCTGTGAGCCACTTTTCTTCACCTCAGACCCCCTGTAACCACCTAAAGGGAGACTGTCTTCATTTCCAGTTCTCACTTAGTTTTGTATATTTCTTGATGAAATTGCTGATACATAGCCTATTCCATTGCTATAGATACCTAGCAGTCAGGACAATATATTTAACATGTCAAGTGTGATATTTAAGAATCGAAGATTCTGTGCTCGCTTCTGTACCAAAATTGGAACGATACATTAGCATCCTGCACAAGGATGACATGCAAATTCGTGAAGCGTTCCATACTTTTTAAAAATTAAAAAAAAAGAATTGAAGATTCTTCCTTTAAAGTTTGACAATAGAAACTTGAGGCTGAGCAAATCTTAGTATGAAATAGTTAATTCTTGCTTTGTTTTAATTAATTGATTCACTTTTGTGATATTAGGGATTGATTGAACCTAGGGCTTTCTGAATTGTAGAAAGAGTTATACCACTCAGCTATATCCCTGGTCTCTTTCTGTTTTGTTTTTTGTTGCATTTCAGGTCTGGGATTTCTTTTTACAAGCTTAAGGTGGTGTTGAGGCCAGTGGTGTAGATGGTTTTCTCAAAGAGGAAGCAGGGTCAGATCTGTGTCCTGTGTCTTCTGCCTGCTTCCTGCTTCCCTGGGGTGCTGGCTCTTCTCCCAGCTCCTTTGGAGGGAGGAAGTTGACCTTGACAACAGTAGGTTGTGACTGCCAGGGACTGGTTTCTCCTTTGGCTCAAGCAGGCTGTGATGAGTACCTGGACTGGAACTCATTCCTTGTTGGCAGATAGCTAAGAACAAAGCTTTCTCATTTTGTCAGACTCAGTTCATGTCATTTCACATTGATTTCCCGTCTCAGGATGGGGAAAAGTCATTCTTGGTTGATAAGGGACATTTGAAGTTCAGTATTTGTAAGTAAGTACCTTGAAGCCTTTCTCTTGGAAATACTGTAGAAACATTATCTGTAGTGATTCTAACACGAGTTGTCTGAGCAAGGAGCTCTCAGCACTGATGGATTTTCTTCTTGACCCTTATTTTCAGAACCCACACAGCAGTTAAAATAGCTCCACGGTACAGCGCACCTGTAATCCATGTCCTAGATGCATCCAAGAGTGTGGTGGTGGTGAGTGTGGGATCTTTCTTTTATTCTGAATGAGTTGTAAAGAGGGAACAAAGAAAGCGTTAAGAACTAAGGTCTCACCCGAGGTCCACTTGGTAAGTTCTACGGAAGAGATGTGAAAGCGCAGAGCTGGTGAAATGACGTCAGAAGTTCATGGCTGCCACTGCAGCGCTGCCTTGCGGGCAGTAAACCCTGTTAGCATGTGTGTGCTTTCAGGGATGCTGGCAGAACTGAGCAAGAGCTGAAGGATGGCACCAATGCCTTGCACTTGGACACCTCACCAGATTGATAAATGCCTTTAATTTACAAATATGAGTAAATTTCTTTGACTAGTGCTAGAATTAAATGGAATGTAGGATTTTTAAAATGACCTTGTTCCAGATGTAAAAATGCTTGATAGGGCCAACTGACTCAATCAAAAACCAGAGTCATAGATAGTTTCTCAGGGAACAGAACAAAAACTTTGCCTAGATGTCTTTCCCTCTCCGTGTCCTCTAGTGAATCCTGATTGTCGTTCTCATGTGTTTGCTGAATAACAGGCTACAACAGCTGAGAGACCACTGGGTCCTTCAGTTTCCAAATTACTTGTCTAGAAACTCAGTGTAAGATAGAAAAGAGCTAAGCAGCCCCTTCTGTCCATAATCCCATTTATATTTTCAACGAAAGCATAGTTTGACAACTCTAGGAATTTCTGTTGGGGAAGAAATCTACTCAAGGGCCTGGTGACCTGGAAGACTCCAGCAACACCATGCAGACTGGATAACAGTGACTTCAGTTTCTGTTATCTTCTGAAAGGAAACATTTTACATCTGTGTATTTATTTATGTGGAATGATTACAGTAACCAGTATTACTGTATTCCACCCAGTTGAGTGTATCGTGAGGTGTTATTGTGGGGTGGTGGTGGTGCTGGAGCCACAGTATGTGTATGGAGATCAGAGACAACTGTGGGAATTGGTTCTCTTCTTCTGCCATGGTTGTCAGACTGGCAGCAAGCATCTTCATCTGTTGAGCCATCTCACCAGCCTCAGTGGAGGTTATCTTCCTTTGCTGCCCTATGGTTGTTGAGCTTTATCTTGCATTTCAGTGTTCTCAGCTGTTAGATGAAAATCTGAAAAATGACTACATTGAAGAAATACAGGAAGAGTATGAAGATATTAGACAGGATCATTATGAGTCTCTCAAGGTAAGTGATAAAAGCAGGTCTTGGCTCGTTTCAGATCAGAGTAATCCATGATTTTTCATGGATTTTATTATTTTACTATTTCCTAGTTTAAATCTGAGTTCTTTGGTATCTAAATTCCTGATTTTTTAAAATGTTATAATGAATTGTAAGTAGGGCATGGACCTGCGTGCCTATAGTCCCAACACTTAGATGTGGGTAAAAGGATCATGAGTTTAAAGCCAGCCTGGGCTACCTAGCAAGACTATCTTTCAAAACATTTAGGATTTTTTTTTTTAAAACTGTATTGAGTCAAACATTCTGGATCCTCAGTAGATATTAGGCTGTATGCCAGGCACTAGGGCTATGAGAAAGAGTAAAACACGAGCTCATGACATCCTAAAAATATGAGCTAAACCATTCCAAAGTGGTATTCTCAGACTCACTTTTAGGGGAAAAATGGAAGAAAATTCTTCAGCTTCTCCTGGTTATTGGCCTGACCTTGCCTGCTGTTCAGAATCATGTGCCTGGAATGGTCCCCTCTAGGCTTCAGGAACTCCATAGGATAGTTTCTCTGCTTGTCGGCCTTCCATCTTTGTGTGGGGCATTAAGAGAGTTGCTAGGAATGTGAATGAGGGAATAAACAATTGTTGTGCTTCTGAGGTGCTTGAGAGCCATAGATTCTGCTGATGACCTCTTTCCATTCGTCTTTTTGCCTATAGTTGACAGTTCCTTGGGTCTGCTCTGGTGCTCAGGGCAGTTAACTCCAAGTTCATGTGTCCTGAAAGAGGTGATCAGGGCTACAGGGTCAGTCTTAGAACCACAGTGAACATGGGTCACTCTTTACTCTCCTATTCTGGTGGCAGCGTGAAGCCATATTGGTTGGGAAAGAATAAGGATTATCCTTTAGAAGCATTTGATTTTACTCATTTGTTTGTTTTGTTTGCAAAACTTTTTTGGTTATGTTTTCATTGTAGAGATAGAAAAGCTAAGAGGTTCTGACTAAATTACTGTTTTCTTCAACAGGAGAGAAAATACTTATCCCTAACTCAAGCCAGAAAAAATGGTTTCCACATCGATTGGCTGTCTGAACCTCACCCAGGTCTGTGGCTGTTGCTGGAGACAGCTAAGTGTGATAATTGACAATTTCCAGGAATGTTTGCAGTTGCTCAGCAACAAATGAACCTGCAAGTGAGCAGTTCTCAGTTGTGTGTAGGAATGAGTCACCTTAACTGAAAAGAAAGTAGATAGGAAGACCTGCTGGGTGCCACAAACTGTGGTGAGATGGAGTCACCGTGGCTTACTGGGTCCTTCAGATGACTCTCGAACAACCATGTTTATTGTCTTCATTTTAATTGAAGAAACTAATTTCAGACAATAACTTGAATGGTTGTCAAACTTCTACCGTCAGGTTTGTCTTCTGTAGCCTCAATGCTTCTCTGTGTTATGCTTACTTCTCAGCTGACCTGAGTTGCATGCAGGCCAAAGGATTCACTTGGAAGGTCTGAAATATAAAATAACTGCATTCACAGGTCTTGAAAACTGCAGCAATGCTGGATCCTTTTCCGCTTTCTTTTTCTGTTTCTGGATCCTTCCCTTTTCATTTTTCTTACGTTGTTTCTTCCCGTTTTATTTCTAGCTACCTTTCTTACCTCACATGGGTACTCACAAGGGAATAATATGAGTAAGATGTTTTGACAGGCTCAGAGAGACACGAGGTACAAATGCAAAACTGAGACAGTGTGAAGGGGGTTCTGTTAAAGGAATCTGAATTTCCCAGGTAATATCTGTTTTCACATCCCAGGTAATATCTGAAACCAGCTTTCAGTGCTTATGACATCTGTGTTCTACACATGCTCAGCAGGGCCGAGAGGATTAAATTGGAAATGTAGGTGCGCTCAGTTCTAATTTCATTCCTGCTGGGTTCAGTGTGGTTTAGTGGAAAGAGTGCCAAATTGGGAGCTGGAAGGCCCGAGTGTTCATCCCTGCTTGACTCCTGGCTCCGAGTCACTGTGTGACCTTGAGTGTCTGTCTCCTACATTTGACAGGTGCTGATGTGTAAAGGGGGATTATTTTATGGAAATATTGAAAGGTAAAATAAGATACTAATGTGAAAACCTTTGAAGAAATAGAAATCACTACAGCAGAGCGCATGCTGTGGTTTTCACTGTTTATCTTTTACTCTGAAATTGGTCTAGAAGCACCAGGACAAGTCATACACCAAATAATTTGCTAGAAATCTCTGAGAAGGCCCACGATACTTGGTAGTGGTGGAGATACTTCCTGGATTGCCAATTTAACCCACATATGATGACATTACTAGGCTCTGCCCTGCTGCCTAAGGGATATGGGGTCCCAAGGTATGGCTTTTGAATTTTAAGGCTAGCCCAGTTGTCTTCAGGGAACTATATGAAGTGAAGCCACTAAAAAATCAGGGCCTTCTCTCTGGATCTAGGGAAGTAGAGCCTGAAACAGCCTTGGAACACTGCCATGAAACTTGGTCAAGAGCAGCCCCACCATCAGCCCCAATTCCACAGCTGCAGGTCACTGTCTGCCTCCTAGCAAGAGGCCTCTTTGGTGTCAGTGTCAGTGGCCTCTCTTAAGTCTCCATGCAGACTTTATTAACAAGCGAACCCACACAGTAGTGGTTACAAAGCAGGAGCAGCCCTAAGAATCGTAGGAAGATGACAAAGCAGATGGGGAAGAGCTACTGTGGTGCAGGAAGGCAGAGGGTCCAGCTTAGAGCTCCTCTGCTCTCCCCTTTCTTCCTGAGAGACCCATGTTCTTTAGGGCAGCTACTAACAGTGGAACAGCGAGTCCTCAGATCCCTAATCACAGGGAAGCATGGTCACTCAGAGTTGGCAGTAGCACTGGCCCCTTGGCCTCTGGCCCAGTATCCATGTGGCATTGTATCCTTGGTGTCCTGAAATGTCTGAAGCACAGTCTGCCTATAGAGTCCCTAGAATTATATATGTTATCATATGTTTCAGACTTGAGATGCAGAGAACAATTTTTGAACACCTGTGTGTTTCCATTACTCAATCTAAGAAAAAAACTTAATCTTCTTTTAAAAGATCAGATATTTATCCATAGCGGCAGTCCTGTATTTATCTCTCCCCTTGTAGAAATAGCCACAGTTTGGAGTTTGGGACTTCATTTCTGTATATGCCCTCACACTGTGTGTGTGTGTGCGCATGTTTGTACGCTTCATATAAGAAGTGTGCTGCATGTGTCCTTCTGCAGTAGTCTCTTAACAGTGCCATTATCTGTATACATGGAAGTGAACTAAAGGCTTCCTTTTTTTCTTAGACATGGTAGGGATGAAAGGGTTGAGGGAAGAATTTCCAGCATGGGGTAGTCAGTCAGCTGCATGGGGAAGTTCCTCCTCCATGATAATTTAAAGTTCTGCTCTTGGTAAGACAACTCCTATAGGCGACAGGAGGGAGGCAGACGTGGGAGTAAGCTGCACAGTGAGGAGCAGGGAAGGACACTTTAGTGTATATCCGTGTGAGTGCTCTCCCAGCTGGTGTGGCATTGACAGCTGTGCCTCTTTGCTCTAGTGAAGCCCACATTTCTTGGGACCCAGGTCTTTGAAGACTACAACCTGCAAAAGCTGGTGGACTACATTGACTGGAAGCCTTTCTTTGATGTCTGGCAGCTCCGGGGCAAGTACCCGAATAGAGGCTTCCCCAAGATATTTAACGACAAAACAGTAGGTTAGTAAATCCTTTCTGCTTGGCCTTCAGGGTGTGGTATGTGACTCTCAAGTTGGTCTGAGAAGACGCACTAAGTGTTTAGTTTACACAGGATATAGCCGCTGCCATATTGCTCCCCGACTCAGCCTTCACAGGAGGCTTGCCCTTACTACATCAGGTAAATGTGGCCTTTTATTCACTCAGTCTTTAAATGGACTCCCTGACATCACTACACACTGGTCTCTGCTCGGCACAGGCAGACAAAAAGGCGAGAATCCTGTGACTGCGTACTGGCTCACCGGCATGGCTGACAGTGCTGGGTTTTTGCTGGATTCTTGCTGTGGGCTCAGCCTGGGATCCCACTCACATCGGAGGGGCTAGATCTCCAGCAGGAGATTAGAGTGGGGCTTCCTGGAGGTGGTGGTACTTGAACGGTTATTGAAGATTCCGTGGGAATTGCTGAGACTAGACCTAGGGGTAGATAGGAAGCAGAAATAAAAAGGAACATGTCAAACCGAGGAGAATGAAGCCTTGGACTTGGGGGCCCATGTGGGGAGCTGCACATCACATTTACCCAGAACATTCAGGGAAGGAGGGAGACTTAGCATGTTAGAATAGAGAAGTGAGTTAATCACTGAATTGCTCCCTCACTTGTCTTGGGTAGCTTCAGCCCCACCCAACTCCTAGAGACATGGGAGAAGGAGTGCTGGTGAACAGAGAGGTCCGGGCTGGAGAGAGCAAGGGAATCCAGATACACATCAGCTTTTGGAGGTCCTAGGCATGTTAGGGTGTTGAGACCCAAGTACTTACCTAATCCAGGAGGATTAGGTAAGGGGCTTCTTACTGTACTGTCCTTGTGCCACCACAGCTAGCTAGAAGGGACCATGGAACTGCCCTTCATACAGGTAGGGCAGCACAGTGTTGTCCACTGAGAGCTAATGGGAACTGATGGAAGGTGTCCCAGAACAGATCTGGTGCCTACCATGCAAGTGCTGAAGCTATTCAGATATAGCACCGATGCCATTTAAGAGAATCTGGGCCATGCGTCCCAGCTCACCCTGTTTTCTCCCCATGTATCACTGTGAAGTTAATGGGGTTATAGTGGAATGCCAGTTTGTGCCCTCTTTCTGACAAGACTGTTTGGATGCTATTGATTTCGTTCTCTGGATTCTACTAACTGGGAAAATATAAACAGATTGACCTAGAGGAGGCACACTGTGGGGATGCATTTCTTGGTCCCACTAGCCACTGTGTACTCTGCTCCAGGCTGTGCCCATGGCAGACCTGAGAGTCTTTGTGAGAATGCAGAAGAGGGTAGAGAAGGGAGAAGCAGCAGTGTTTAAAAAGGAATGGTTGTTTGCAGGTTACTATTGGCGTCTTTAAATAAATTCTTGTATTTTTTAATAGGTAAAGAAGCCAGAAAGGTATATGATGATGCTCAGAATATGCTGAACATACTGATAAGTCAAAAGAAACTCCAGGCCAGGGGTATAGTTGGATTCTGGCCAGCACAGAGTGTCCAGGATGACATCCACTTGTATGCAGAGGGTGTGGTACCCCAGGCTTCAGAGCCCATAGCCACCTTCTATGGGCTGAGGCAGCAGGTATGAAATGTGTGTGGACGGTGAGTGCACTGCTTTGACTCTCAGGCTTAGCAACTATACTAAGTGTAGTAAGTGAGAATTAAATAAGAAATCTGAGCCTTTTATCTGTACCATTGCATCCCAGACAGCCCCCCATAGGCCTGAGTCCTAAGCATTTGTGAGGATGGAGAGAAGGCAATGGGTGTCCCTGAGGTCGGGTAGGGTTCATAGTGGTGACTACAGATAGATATGGAACCGTGCTGCTAGCCTTGCTGTCGTACACTTGTGTTTTCAGTCTTTCAACCCCATATCTCATGGAACTAGGGGCATTTTATTTTCCCTAGCAATTGCTTTTCATCTGAGTATTCTATTAGAGACTGTTATGTGGCTTATTGTCTCAAAGGGAAGTCTGGCGGGGACAAATACCCCAGAATGTCCACCCTGCCAGGTGCTGAATAGGGAGTAAGATAACCATAGTTAACTGTTTCATGGTGGTGTTGTCAGGCAGTTTATGTCTCTGTTTTACAGAGGAGAAAAAAACGGGCAGAGGGAGCTGGCACTGAGCTTTGTGTGCAGAGAGGCAAGCGCAAGCCCCCTTGAGTGTGTCCTGGATATATTCTCCTTGTAGCGGTTCCCAGTGTACACTGTCTGTGTTTTGTCTTTGCCTCACCTTTAAAAATGGCAGGAACCATGCAAAGACTTTAGCTGCTATAGATACAATTGTCTCAATGAAGAATTGGAGCTAGAATTTAATAATTAGCAGTAAATTACTTTCTTTGGTTTTACTCATATTTTTAATAATTAAAATTGGTAGGGTTGCCTTTATCATAATGCAAATTATAATGACAGGGTTTTTTTTTAATTTATTTATTTATTAAGGATTTCTGCCTCGTCCCCACAACCGCTTCCCATTTCCCTCCCCCTCCCCCAATCAAGTCCCCCCCCCCCTCATCTGCTCCAAGAGCAATCAGGGTTCCCTGACCTGTGGGAAGCCCAAGGACTGCCCACCTCTATCCAGGTCTCGTAAGGTGAGCATTCAAACTGCCTAGGCTCCCACAAAGCCAGTACGTGCAGTAGGATCAAAAACCCACTGCAATTGTTCTTGAATTCTCAGTATTCCTCATTGTCCGCTATGTTCAGCTAGTCCGGATTTATCCCATGCTTTTTCAGACCTAGGCCAGCTGGCCTTGGTGAGATCCCAATAGAACATCCCCATTGTCTTAGTGTGTGGGTGCACCCCTCGTGGTCCTGAGTTCCTTGCTCGTGCTCCGTCTCCTTCTGCTCCTGATTTGGACCTTGAGATTTCTGTCCGGTGCTCCCGTGTGGGTCTCTGTCTCTGTCTCCTTTCATCGCCTGATGAAGGTTAATATTCCTGAGGATGCCTATGCGTTTGTCTTTGGATTCACCTTATTTAGCTTCTCTAGGAACATGAATTATAGGCTCAATGTCCTTTATTTATGGCTAGAAACCAAATATGAGTGAGTACATCCCATGTTCCTCTTTTTGGGTCTGGCTTACCTCACTCAGGATAGTGTTTTCTATTTCCATCCATTTGTATGCAAAATTCAAGAAGTCCTTGTTTTTTACTGCTGAGTAATACTCTAATATGTATATATTCCATACTTTCTTCATCCATTCTTCCGTTGAAGGGCATCTAGGTTGTTTCCAGGTTCTGGCTATTACAAACAATGCTGCCATGAACATAGTTGAGCATATACTTTTGTTGTATGATAGGGCCTCTCTTGGGTATATTCCCAAGAGTGGTATTGCTGGATCCAGGGGTAGGTTGATCCCGAATTTCCTGAGAAACCGAAACACTGCTTTCCAGAGTGGTTGCACAAGTTTGCATTCCCACCAGCAATGGGTGAGTGTACCCCTTTCTCCACAACCTCTCCAGCAAAGGCTATCATTGGTGTTTTTTATTTTAGCCATTCTGACAGGTGTAAGGTGGTATCTTAAAGTTGTCTTGATTTGCATTTCCCTGATCGCTAAGGAAGTTGAGCATGACCTTAAGTGTCTTTTGGCCATTTGAAGTTCTTCTGTTGAGAATTCTCTGTTCAGATCAGTGCCCCATTTTATAATTGGGTTGATTAGCCTTTTACGGTCTAGTTTCTTGAGTTCTTTATATATTTTGGAGATCAAACCTTTGTCAGTTGCAGGGTTGGTGAAGATCTTCTCCCAGTCAGTGGGTTGTCTTTTTGTCTTAGTGACAGTGTCCTTTGCTTTACAGAAGCTTCTCAGCCTCAGGAAGTCCCATTTATTCAATGATGCCCTTAGTGTCTGTGCTGCTGGGGTTATACATAGGAAGTGGTCTCCTGTGCCCATGTGCTGTAGAGTACTTCCCACTTTCTCTTCTATCAGGTTCAGTGTGTTCGGACTGATATTGAGGTCTTTAATCCATTTGGATTTGAGTTTTGTGCATGGTGATAGATATGGATCAATTTTCATTCTTCTACAGATTGACATCCAGTTTTGCCAGCACCATTTGTTGAAGATGCTCTCTTTTTTCCATTGTATACTTTTAGCTCCTTTATCGAAGATCAGGTGTTCATAGGTTTGTGGGTTAATGTCAGGGTCTTCTATTCGATTCCATTGGTCGACTTCTCTGTTTTTATGCCAATACCAAGCTGTTTTCAATACTGTAGCTCTGTAATAGAGTTTGAAGTCAGGGATGGTAATGCCTCCAGACAAACCTTTATTGTATAAGATTGTTTTGGCTATCCTGGGTTTTTTGTTTTTCCATATAAAGTTGATTATTGTCTTCTCCAGATCTTTGAAGAATTTTGATGGGATTTTGATGGGGATTGCATTGAATCTATAGATTGCTTTTGGTAGAATTGCCATTTTTACTATGTTGGTCCTCCCAATCCAAGAGCAAGGGAGGTCTTTCCATTTTCTGGTGTCTTCTTCAATTTCTTTCTTCAAAGACTTATAGTTCTTGTCAAGTAGATCTTTCACTTCCTTGGTCAGGGTTACCCCAAGGTATTTTATGCTATTTGTGGCTATCGTGAAAGGTGATGCTTCTCTGATTTCCCTCTCTGCTTCCTTATCCTTGGTGTATAGGAAGGCAACTGATTTTTTGTAGTTGATCTTGTATCCTGCCACGTTACTAAAGCTGTTTATCAGCTGTAGGAGTTCTTTGGTAGAATTTTTGGGGTTGCTTATGTACACTATCATATCATCTGCAAATAACGAAAGCTTAACTTCTTCCTTTCCAATACGAATCCCCTTGATCTCCTTATGTTGTCTTATTGCTATTGCTAGAATTTCAAGCACTATATTGAAGAGGTATGGCGAGAGTGGACATCCTTGTCGTGTTCCTGATTTTAGTGGGATGGCTTTGAGTTTTTCTCCGTTTAATTTAATGTTAGCTGTTGGCTTGCTGTAAATAGCTTTTATTATATTTAGGTAGGACCCTTGTATCCCTATTCTCTCCAAGACCTTTATCATAAAGGGGTGTTGAATTTTGTCGAATGCTTTTTCCGCATCTAGTGAAATGATCATATGGTTTTTTTCTTTCAGTTTATTTATATGGTGGATTACATTGATAGATTTGCGTATGTTGAACCAGCCCTGCATCTCTGGGATGAAGCCTACTTGATCATAATGGATAATTTTTCTTATGTGTTCTTGGATTCGGTTTGCCAGTATTTTATTGAAGATTTTTGCGTCGATGTTCATGAGTGAGATTGGCCTGTAATTCTCTTTCTTGGTTGGGTCTTTTTGTGGTTTTGGTATCAGGGTAACTGTAGCTTCATAAAAGGAATTTGGCAATGACTCTTCTGATTCTATATTGTGAAATACCTTAAGGAGTATAGGTATTAATTCTTCTTGGAAGTTCTGGTAGAATTCTGCATTGAAACCATCTGGTCCTGGGCTTTTTTTCGAAGGGAGATTTTTGATAACCATTTCTAATTCTTCGCGAGAAACCGGTCTATTTAGATCATTCACCTGGTCTTGGTTTAGCTTTGGTATATGATACTTATTTAAAAAAATGTCCATTTCTTTTGTATTTTCCAGTTTTGTGGCATACAGGCTTTTGTAGTAAGATCTAATGATTCTCTGAATTTCCTCTGTGTCTGTGGTTATGTCCCCCTTTTCATTTCTGATCTTATTTATTTGCGTGTTCTCTCTCTGTCATTTAATTAGTTTGGATAGGGGTTTGTCGATCTTGTTGATTTTCTCCAAGAACCAGCTTTTTGTTTCATTGATTCTTTGGACTGTTTTCTGTGTTTCTATTTTGTTGATTTCAGCCCTCAGTTTTATTATTTCCAGTCTTCTACTTCTCCTGGGCGCGTCTGCTTCTTTTTTTTCTAGAGCTTTCAGGTGTGTTTTTAAGTCCCCAATGTATGCATTCTCCGTTTTCTTTAAGTGGGCACTTAGTGCTATGAACTTTCCTCTTAGCACTGCTTTCATTGTGTCCCATAGGTTTGAGTATGTTGTCCCTTTATTTTCATTAAATTCAAGGAAGACTTTAATTTCTTTCTTGATTTCTTCCTTGGCCCAGGTGTGGTTCAGTAGTTGACTGTTCAGTTTCCATGAGTTTGTCGGTTTTTTGGGGGCAGCGTGGTTGTTGCCTTCTAACTTTAATCCGTGATGATCTGATAAGACACAGGTGGACACTGATATTTTTTTGTATCTGTGGAGGTTTCCTTTGTTTCCGAGTATGTGGTCAATTTTTGAGAAGGTTCCATGAGCTGCAGAGAAGAAGGTATATTCTTTAATGTTTGGGTGGAATGTTCTATAGATGTCTGTTAAGTCCATTTGCTTCATTACCTCCAATAATTCTCTTAATTCTCTATTAGGTTTCTGTCTGATTGACCTGTCCCTTGGAGAGAGAGGTGTGTTGAAGTCTCCTACTACTAGTGTGTGTGGTTTGATGTCTGCCTTGAGTTCTAGTAATATTTCTTTTACATAAGTAGGTGCTTTTATATTGGGGGCGTATATATTCAGGATTGAGACGTCCTCCTGATGAATTGTTCCTGTTATGAGTATAAAGTGACCGTCTCGGTCTCTTCTGATTGATTTTAGTTTGAAGTCAGTTTTGTTAGAAATTAGTATGGCCACACCTGCTTTTTTCTTAGGACCATTTGCTTGAAACACCTTTTCCCAACCCTTTACTCTGAGTAGGTGCCTGTCTTTGTGGTTGAGATGTGTTTCTTGCAAACAGCAGAATGTTGGATCCTGTTTTCGTATCCAATCTTTTAGCCTGTGCCTTTTTATAGGTGAATTGAGCCCATTAATATTAAGTGATATTAATGACCAGTGGTTGTTTACTCCGGTTATTCTTATTGCTTTTGGTAGTAGAGATTGTGTGTCTCCTTTCTTTGAGATGTGCTCGTGAAGGGTCATTAGATGCCTGGGTTATTGTAGGCAGTGTTGGCAGTGTTGGATTCCTTGGGTTGCGATTTTCCTTCTATTACTTTCTGTAGGGCTGGATTTGTGGCTACGTATTGTTTAAATTTGTTCTTATCCTGGAATGTCTTGTTTTCTCCGTTGATAGTGAACGATAGCTTGCCTGGGTATAGTAGTTTGGGTTTGCATCCATGGTCTCTTAGCTTCTGCAGAACCTCTATCCAGGACCTTCTGGCTTTCATAGTTTCCATCGAGAAGTCAGGTCTGATCGGTTTACCTTTATAAGTTACTTGCCCTTTTTCTTTTGCAGCTCTTAATATTCTTTCTTTAACCTGTATATTTTGTGTTTTGATTATTATATGGCGAGGAGATGTTTTTCTTTGATCCAGTCTGTTTGGTGTTCTGTATGCTTCTTGAATATTTAAATGAATATCTTTCTTTAAGTTGGGAAAGTTCTCTTCCATAATTTTGTTGAAAATATTTTCTGAGCCTTTGAGCTGTGACTCTTCTCCTTCTTCTATTCCTATTATTCTTAGGTTTGGTTTTTTTATTGTGTCCCATAGTTCCTGAATGTTTTGTGTTGAGAATTTGTTGGCTTTGCTGTTTTCTTTGATCTGTTCGTTTATTTTCTCTATGGTGTCCTCAGCATCTGAGAGTCTTTCTTCTAGCTCTTGTATTCTATTGATTATGCTTGTTTCTGTAGACTCTGCTCGTTGGCCTAGATTTTCCATATCCAGCTGGTCCTCAGTTTGTATTTTCTTCTTTGCCTTCATTTCAGTTTTCAATTCTTGAACTGTTTCCATTACCTGTTTGATGGTTTTTTCTTGGTTTCCCAGGGTATCATGTACGTATTTACTCATTTCTTCAAACTTTTTGTTATACTTCTCATCCATTTCTATAAGGGCATTTTTTACATGTTGTTTAAGGGACTCTATTATCTTCATAAAGTCGATTTTTTTCCACTTCTTCTGTGTTAGGTTGTTCAAATACTTCTGTTGTAAGATCATTGGGTTCTGATGTTTTCATGTTGTTTTTCGGATTATTGGGTGAGTTCTTGCCTTGGCGCCTGCCCATCTCCTCCTATTGATCCTATCCAATGGATCCTTTAGAAACCGGATCAGGTTTCCCTGCTGGCCAAGGGCTCCGCTTACAAAATGCCCTCACTCTCTTTCGTGGTTCCTGCTGCAGGCCAAGAACCCTCTCACCCCTCCGAAGGATCTTCAGGACAGGACCAGGCTCCCCTTGTGCCAGTGACCTGGCCAACCAAAGGCCTACCTCTTTGATTCAATTGTAGTAGGGCGATCTGCTCTCCTTATTGCACGCCTGTCCCAGCCGCTTGGGTCTGGCTGCCTCTCCGCCGCGTCTGGTGCCTCCGCCGAGCTGCCGCCGCTGCGCCGCGTGTGGCGCCGCCGCCGCCGCCGCCGCTGAGCCTCTGTGCGTCTGGCGCCGCCGCCGCTGCGCCTCTGTGCTAATGACAGGGTTTTAATAGTAACGATGGATGGGATTCTTAAACTTGAGCCTTGATACCATAAGTGGTTATGTGAGAACAATTTCAGCTTTACTCTATGTGCTCAGGCCTAGTCACCACAGGATACAGGGCAGGGAGTTCCAGTGCTGAGCTCTGGCCCTTCCTCACTAGGGAATCATGAGCTTATCTTTGACTGGTATAAGGCCAGACACCTTTGCTGGGCTCTTTTCTTTCATCCTCCAGTCCTTGGTTTTCCTCTGCTGACTTCACTTCACAGTCAACTAAATACTGTTGTGTTGTGATATAAGGGCATTTACCACCATTATTCTTAGTTTATTCTTTCAGTAGTTCCTAGAGAGGGGAGCTGGACCGTGGATACGTATTGCCTGTGATACATTTATTAGGAGATGATCTGCAGGGCACTGAGAAACTGTAGCTGAGCACCCCATTCATTACCCTGGGAGTCTTTTGTTCAGAGGATCTTTGATTGTCATCCCTTCTGAGGCACAGTGGGACCAGTGACCTGTCCTACTGCAGAGTAGCTTTGTGTCTCTCTCTTGCTTTTTTTCTTTTCTTTTTTTAAATCAAAGAACAGTAGAGTACCACTGGAAAATGACTGACCTCTTTCTGAGCTCTGGAACACTCATGCCTTCTGACCTGCAGCCACAGGCTTATTCTCTGCCCAGGGTCAGACTATACTTGCTCTCATGTCTAGCAACTGACTTAGAAGATTCTGGATGACTGCTCTTTGATTAATTGATCCGTCTAGAGCAGTACCATGTCTCTAGGAGCATTTGTTGTCCTCTCCTGGATCAGCCATATCACTGGCTGAGCCTGTGGGGTCAAATTTTATGTCTCAGATTTCTTGCCTGTGAAATGGAACTTGAGGATCACTTCCTTCACTGGATTGCTGAGAGCTAAATTAGCACCCTAGAAAGAACAACAAAGTGTTAAGTACTTAGGAAGTATTAGTTATAAGTTACTAACTTTTTATTGACCGTGATATGTATAAGACTTTGATAGTTTCATACCAGGGAAGGATCAGTTACCAGCTGAGAGTAAAACCCTGGAAGATGGACACCTGTGTTGTGGAAACAGAGAAAAATAGGTGTAGGTGTGTGTGTGTGTGTGTGTGTGTGTGTGTGTGTGTGTGATTTTGCAACAGGGTTTCATGTGTCCCGGGCTGGCCTCAAACTTGATGTGTCATTAAGGAACCTTAAATTTTTAATCTCAGTGCATGCTGAAATTACAGACCTGCAAGATTGTACCTGGCTTATGTGGTACTGGGGATCAAACATAGAGTTTTGTGCATTCTGGGCAGGCATTTTTCCAACTATGATTTCTGGGCCCTGGACAGAGTCTTTGTATTCAGACTATATTAGTGTATTCTCAGAAGTCTCCTGACAAACCATGGTGGACATCACCGGGCCTATATGCGCTTGACCTCAGCAGTTTGTTAACTCTTATCTGTTGATGTGAAGATGTGTTGATGTTGATGTGAAGGCTGATACCTTTATCAGGCTCTTCTCAAACATGCTCATCTGAATTGAAAACACTCTGGAACAGTAATGTTTAATCTACCTATGATTATTTAAGGTTCTGATTCCTAGCATAATGCCTACAGGTATTTATAACTGAGCAAATCAACTAATTTCCTAATTGTATATGCTACATCCTGTCATGTAGTTTTTAAAAATGTCTGTTTTCTGTTGCTATAATGGAATATTTGAGACTGGAGATTTTTAAAGAAAAATTCTTATTTTGGTTCATTGGTCTGGTTGTTAAGTCTAAGATCAGGCAGCCCCATCTGGTGAGAACCATGTGCTGCCGTGTAACATGGCAAAAGTCAGAAGAAGAGAAGCACATGGGCAAGTGAGAAAGGAAGGCTGAATTCCAGTAATAGCCAACCCATTCTGCAAGAAAGACAGTAATTCTGTCCTGTCTCCAGGTTCCTACCCATAGGTTCCTGCATTGGTTTCGTGCCTTAGGTCCCTCAATGTTGGTCTGTGACATAGAAGTGTAAACCAAAAAGTCATATACTGCAGTGCCCCTGTGCCCCACATGGCTATGTTCAGTAATTGTGGTTTAGTATATACTAAACCGTAGCCATTTGTTTATTTAGCACGGATCTATTGCATACTCACAGTATGCCAGACACCGTTTTGAGTGCTGTGGTAGAGCTGAATGAAGCATGCAGGCATTCTGTGTCCTGAGACTGACAGTCATTTTGTACTCTACTATGTGCTGATGCTGTGGCCATGCTGATGACCTCTCTGCCAATGCTTGGGTTTAAGGCTGAGAAGGACTCTTCCAGTACAGACCCCTACCACTGCCTCTCAGACTTCATTGCTCCTCTGCATTCTGGTGTCCGGGACTACTTGGGTCTGTTTGCTGTTGCCTGCTTTGGGGTTGAAGACCTGAGTAAAGCCTATGAGGATGATGGCGATGACTACAGCAGCATCATGGTGAAGGCACTGGGGGACCGGCTGGCAGAGGTAAGGCATTGACAGATACTGGGGTGCTGAGGTAGAGAGTGGGTGTTGGAACTTTCATGACAATGTCAGAAAACCTATCTGCCATTAGAATTTATGTCACTGCATACTTGAGCTAGATGCTGCTGGCTTTAACATGACCTGTAGTTTTAAGTCCTGTGTCTTCCAAATGCCACTCATATGCCATCTTTTAGCAAAGAGAAACCTCCAGTGCTTGACTAGTTGGTTGTTGCCCTCCAGAGACTTGACCTTATCTCTGAATTAGTCTTCTTTTGATTACTGTGATAACCCCCAGAATTAAAATCAGATTTCTGCTTTAGAGTCCTTTCTAATGTTGGCAACTTCTGTAGCTGCATGTGGGGTGAGGAGGCCAAAATGTGAGAAGTCCTATCTCCCCTTTGTTTTGAGCAGGCCATAGAGAATGCCGCTCTGTGGTCCCAGTACTCTTCTGGCCCCATTGACTTCAGGCAAATGTCCTAGAATTCTAGATTACTGAATGTGGTACTTCAGAACTCTGTTGAGGACACCATGGCCTCTCAGGGCAGCTAATGAAAGTGCAGTTTTCCTGACTGTGGCCAGGTGGGGAAAGTGGTTCTGTGTGGAGGTCACAGGTTGCTTCTGCTTGATTGTGCCCCTCTCTCTTCTGTGTTCCCAGGCCTTTGCAGAGGAGCTCCATGAGAGAGTTCGCCGAGAACTGTGGGCTTACTGCAGTAGTGAGCAGTTGGATGTTACAGACTTGCGCAAACTCCGGTATGAGGGCATCCGGCCAGCTCCTGGTTACCCCAGCCAGCCTGACCATACTGAGAAGCTCACCATGTGGAGACTGGCCAACATTGAGCAGGCTACAGGTATGTGGGAGACAGTGAGCTCCTGTCCTTGCTCATTGAGTCCATGCACATGAAGTTAAAGTTTTTATAAAATAGGAGAACTTAGAATGAAATCATCCCTTATCCCATCCTTTCTCACTGGATCTGTTCTGGTAATTTACTTCCAGAGTACAGCCTTGCATTTTTCCTGGACTATTTTAGACTTAGTAGGTTAAACTGTTGACTGTTGCTACATCCTAGAAGGGGATTTACCTAGGTTTCCTTTCTTCCCCCTGCCTTTCCTACCCTAGTTTTCTGGTTTTGGTTTTAATACCTAGTGACCAGCTTCTGTCCTGTTGGCAGTGTTTTCTGCCTGCTCAGGCTTGCGCTGCTTGCTGATGGCTGTTTCTAGCTCTAAACTGGCAAGCTCCCAGCCTTCCCTTAGCTCTCTCACTTTCCTTTACTTGTTAGTAACATTTATGCTCCTCTGCAGTCATCATCCCCTCTTAAATTTGCTCTGTGGGTTGAGTCTCAGAGTTGAAATTAGAAGTTGACCTGTGCTCTGTTGAGACAATAGCCTCTTTGTGCTTGACTCAGGGCAGAGTCAGTCATTGTTCTGAGGCTGCATTATCCCATCCTTGCTGCATAGTTTGTGATGTTGAGAGGACTCAGTTAAATCACAAACCCAGTAGAATTAATCAATCATAATTAGCTATTAAAGCTGGTGAAGTTGAATCCATATCACTGGAAGGAACTGAGAGTGGCACTGGATTTGGGTCTGCAGAAACGGCTCAGAGAGTCTCAACATCTAGGTGTGAGCACGGTGTCCTGTGAGTGAGCTAGAGATGATTAGAAAGTATTCAGCATTGTGGTTCCAAGTTCTTGTCCATGGAGTGAGTAGTGCAGAGTACAGCCCTGAGAACGCCTCATTCTCTGTGCTTTTGTGGGCTGCTTCTTCATTCCTGCTACCCGCTGACCTCATAGAGTCATGGTGAGCTGTGGGGATTCTTTTACTGCCAGGGGCTAGCAGTCCTACCTGAGAAGACTCAGCGTAGAGACAAATTGGAGCCTCTACAACTGATCACATGTAGCTGGGGAGAAGGAATGCAGTCTTTTCCAGGCTTGCTCTTACCAGGTATAATATGTGGGTCCTGAATTTGGTTTTCCACCTGGCAAGAATTTGCTAGACACTATGATCAGAGCTTCTTGCTGTGTCAGTGTGTCTCCCTAGATGGCGTGAGTTTACTTGGTGCTCACTCAGTCTGTTAGTACCCTGCCTGGGCACTGATTGCTTCCTGTGCTTCTCTTCAGGCATCAGTTTGACAGAATCCTTGGCGATGGCACCTGCTTCAGCAGTATCAGGCCTCTACTTCTCTAATGTAAAGTCCAAATATTTTGCTGTGGGCAAAGTTTCCAAAGATCAGGTAAGCATGTGACTTCTCTAGATAACTGTCTTTAAAATCGACCCGAAGGACCCATTTTATATGACAATGAAATGATGTGATGTGGGGGGCGGGTGTTTGTGAATAAACTCACCTCAGTTTGTGTCTTAACTTGATTTGAGCCCATTACCCTGTTTCCAGCCTTCTCTCTCTATCCATGGTAAACACACAAACACACACACCTATTAGTTTCTAAGCAGCCGACATTTGCCACTTGTTTTTCCCTAGAGAGTAAAACAGGTGGGCAGACAGGAAATGTGTTAGCTCAGTAGATTGCTGTTAAGACAAGATATGCCAGGTACTTAATGTTTATTCCAAAGTCTGTGGAAACTCAGACCAGAAAGATTTAGCACTTTGGTTTAACAAGATGCTTCTGTCTTTTACAGATTGAAGATTATGCTTTGAGGAAGGACATGCCTTTGGCCGAGGTGGAGAAATGGCTTGGCCCTATTTTGGGATATGATACAGACTGACTTCTTTCTCTGTCGTGCTTTTTTTTTTTTCCCACTCTTTTTCTTTTTTCTTTAAAACCTTTATGTTTGCTGACCTCAGGGGGTACAATCCAGAGTGCCTTAGAAATAACAACAAAAGCACCTGTGTGCCTGCTGACCTCCCCCACTGCCATTGTGGGAAGGCTGGTTGGTGGCACGTGATATAGAGCAGGTCTTCTGGGGTCCTAGAACATAAGTACTGTTTCAGGGACCTTAAATGAGGTGCATCAAGGTGCCAAGGCTCATGGTGTCATTAGGTTGTTAGACTTGGAGCAAGTAGAAGACATCTTTTGCATTTCAAAGCAAGTCAACTAGCTTTTCCTCATTTTTGCCTTTGACCTAGGAGGGCACTTGTACCTGTTTTTTTGTTGTATGTTTGTTTGTTTTTATTGTTTTCTCACATTAAAAAAGGTCCTGAAAATAAGTTGAATAGAGAAATAAGTTGTATAGAGAAATGTGACATTTCAATCTAAGTGTTTCAACAGTAGACTTGGACAGGGAGGAAGGTGTTACTCTCTTTTCTCCTGCAGGAATATATTTTCTGAGGTTCAACTAACTGTAGAATTCTTTGGCAAAGGCATACTCGCTGCTTGCTGGACAGAAATACTGGAACTGTTTGCCCTGGTGTGCTGGTGTAGCTAGGCACAGTCACATTTTCCATGCTTGTCGTTTCATGGTCCCTTGCACTAGTGGAAAAATGGAAGAGAAAGAAAGTGACTTCCAAAGGTATTATTTAATATCTAGCTGTTCTCAGAATGAGTAGGTTCTCAGCTGAGCTCTGGTATTTGTGCAGAACCTGTGGGTGGCTAAGCCACGCAGTTCTTTGCCTGCGCCTGACTCCAAACTAACATATTTTGGATATACTATACTGTCTTGCTCTTTGTTATTTCTGAAAATATTGTTCAGAGCTTTAGGCTCTGAAAACGAGATTTAAACATCAACTTTGCTGTATAACTTCCATGTGACATAAACCAAGTGCTCAGTCTTCCCAGCCTTGTCTGCTCATCTATAAAATGAGAACAGTGATCTTAATTTCTGTCTCGTTGGATGAGATTTAAACAGAATTGTGCATAGAGACAGCTCAGATACACACAGATGTCTAAGTGGAGGTTGTAGAGCTCTGTGGTCTTAGCACTGTAGGTCCTCATGAAAAGAAGAAGGACTCAAAAGAGGAGGTAGTGTAGAGAAATATGTATGGGAACCTCCTTTTGGCATTAGATCCCCACTTACAGTTTACACTGACTGAGGAAGAGAAGCTACCTCTTATGTGTTATACATGCTGTCAGGACTCATCTTCTGTTAGGCAGACTCTTACCTCATATCTTGCCCCAAGGTACTTACACCAAACACACATTCTGGTATATTGGAGGTGAATAGAAGAAAATGACAGTTGGGTAATGATGATCCTGTGTATCTGTAATCTTTCCAATTTTATTTTCAAAGTAGTGTACGCTTTCTGTATCACTCAGAGTGAAAAGAATTGTCTTCTTTAAAGTATGTTTAACTTGTAGTGTGTAAATGGGATTCATTAGTCTGAACACTTAGTTTCAGGACGTGTTCCATAGCAGGTATATTCTTTAGCCTTGGAGTATTCATCTGTGAGAAAGAATAACCTCCAGATGTTTTAATGCATTTCATCTGAAGAATTACTAACGTCTTTTTGTCTCATTGCTATTCTTTCAGCTGGATTCCCTGAGTATGTCTTTATTGATCTAACCCCATCACATATGTTTCTGTTGTTGTTCTCCTCCTCTTCTTATTTGCAAGTTTAGGTGTATAGATATTCACAAAGGAATTGAAATGATAGCTTGAAAGCATCCTTCTTAGTTTCATTTTAGGTATTCCAGAGAGGATGGACTCCAAAGGCTAGTATTTTAAACTGGGCTCTTGTGTGCTTGATTGGATGCACCCAGCATGTTTCCTCACCATTGGCACCTGAGACTCATACGTGAACTGATTTTACACTGCATGTTTATTTTTTCACAGTTAAGAATTATCTGTAGCCAGATGTGCCTGCCCTATGCCTGTTATCACAGCATTTGGGAACTCGAGGCAGAAGATTGGCATAGGTAGTAGGCTGTCCTGGGTTAAATAGACTGTCTTCAACAACAGAAATAGCACCAGCAAGATGGCTTAGTGCATAAATGTACAGGCTGCCAAACCTGACCTGAGTTTGATTTCTGAGACTCACATGGTAGAAGAGACTGACTCCTGACCTCCACACACAGGTTGTGGCACACCACACAATAAATACATGTTTGTGAAGAAGAAAAGAAAAAAAGGATTTGTCTCCATTTTGCTGCTTGCTCTGCTGCCTGCTGTAAAGGCTAGTTTTATGGAACAGTGGCTGGGAATAGGGAGAGTTTCATTGGTAATTATTTCTCCTTCAGGCCATTCACCTCCATTCATAATGAACACACATGGGAACAGTCTTTTTTCCCCCCACAGTTGATTCTCTTCTCTCATGCATGATCTTTTCACAATATTTGGACTTTCATGTACCAGTTATTTTTCTTTCTTTCTTTCTTTCTTTCTTTCTTTCTTTCTTTCCTTACCTAGAGCTACATTATTTTATTTTTTTATTGAAAAGAAAAAAAATTTCTGCCTCCTCCCAGCTTCCCATTTCCCTCCCCCTCCTCCCGCCCCTCTCCCCCTCCTCCTGCCCCTCTCCCCCTCCACCCAATTTTCTCTTCCTCCCTCTCCAGTCCGAAGAGCAGTCAGGGTTCCCTGCCCCGTGGAAAATCCAAGGTCCTCCCCCTCCATCCAGGTCTAGGAAGGTGAACATCCAAACTGGTTAGCCAGAACATGAAGTAGGATCAAAACCCCGTGCCATTGTCCTTGGCTTCTCATCAGCCCTCATTGTCCGCCATGTTCAGAGAGTCTGGTTTTATCCCTTGCTTTTTCGGTCACAGACCAGCTGGCCTTGGTGAGCTCCCAATAGATCAGCCCCACTGTCTCAGTGGGTGGGTGCACCCCTCGTGGTCCTGACTTCCTTGCTCATGTTCTCCCTCCTTCTGCTCCTCATTGGGACCTTGGGAGCTCAGTCTGGTGCTCCAGTGTGGGTCTCTGTCTCTATTTCCATCCATCACCAGATGAAGGTTCTGTGGTGATATGCAAGATATTCATCAGTATGGCTATAGGATAGGGTCATTTCAGGTTCCCTATCCTCAGCTACCCAAGGAACTAACTGGGGACATCGCCCGGGGCACTTGGGAGCCACTCTAGGTTCGAGACTCTTGCCAACCCTAAGGTGGCTCCCTTAACTTGGATATGTGCTTCCCTGCTCCCCTATCCAACCCTCGTATATCCCAATCATCCCGTTTCCCCAAGTTCCCCCTTTCCTCCCCTTCTTACTTTTCTCTCCCCCTCTCCCCTTACCCCCATCCTGCCCCACCCCCAAGATCCCAGTTTTTTGCCTGGCAATCTTGTCTACTTCCCATAGCCAGGAGGATAACTATATGTTTCTCTTTGGGTTCACCTTCTTATTTAGCTTCTTTAGGATCACAAATTACAGACTCAGTGACCTTTAGTTATAGCTAGAAACCAATTATCAGTGAGTACATCCCATGTTCATCTTTTTCGGTCTGGGTTACCTCACTCAGGATAGTGTTTTCTATTTCCATCCATTTGCATGCAAAATTTGAGAAGTCATTGTTTTATTACCGCAGAGTAATACTCTAATGTGTATATATTCCACACTTTCTTCATCCATTCTTCCATTGAAGGACATCTAGGTTGTTTCCAGGTTCTGGCTATTACAAATAATGCTGCTATGAACATAGTTGAACAAATGCTTTTTTCATATGATAGGACATATCTTGGGTAATTTCCCAAGAGTGGTATTGCTGGGTCCAGGGGTAGGTTGATCCCAAATTTCCAGAGGAATCGCCACACTGATTTCCAAAGTGGTTGCACAAGTTTGCATTCCCACCAGCAATGGATGAGGGTACCCCTTCCTCTACAACCTCTCCAGCAAAGGCTATCATTAGTGTTTTTTATTTTAGCCATTCTGACAGGTGTAAGATGATATCTCAAAGTTGTTTTGATTTGCATTTCCCTGATCGCTAAGGAGGTTGAGCATGACCTTAAGTGTCTTTTGGCCATTTGAAGTTCTTCTGTTGAGAATTCTCTGTTCAGTTCAGTGCCCCATTTTTTAATTGGGTTATTTAGCATTTTAAAGTCTAGTTTCTTGAGTTCTTTATATATTTTGGAGATCAGACCTTTGTCAGTTGCGGGGTTGGTGAAAATCTTCTCCCAGTAAGTGGGTTGCCTTTTTGTCTTAGTGACAGTGTCCTTTGCTTTACAGAAGCTTCTCAGTTTTAGTAGGTCCCATTTATTCAATGTTGCCCTTAATGTCTGTGCTGCTGGGGTTATACATAGAAAGCGATCTCCTGTGACCATCTGTTGTAGGGTACTTCCCACTTTTTCTTCTATCAGGTTCAATGTGTTCAGATTGATATTGAGGTCTTTGATCCATTTGGACTTGAGTTTTGTGCATGGTGATAGATATGGATCTATTTTCATTCTTCTACAGGTTGACATCCAGTTTTACCAGCACCATTTGTTGAAGATGCTTTCTTTCTTCCATTGTATACTTTTAGCTCCTTTATCGAAAATCAGGTGTTCATAGGTTTGTGGGTTAAAATCCGGGTCTTCTATTCGATTCTATTGGTTGACTTCTCTGTTTTTATGTCAGTACCATTCTGTTTTCATTACTGTAGCTCTGTAATAGAGTTTGAAGTCAGGAATGGTAATACCTCCAGAAGTTCCTTTATTGTATAGGATTGTTTTGGCTATCCTGGGTTTTTTGTTTTTTCATATAAAGTTGATTATTGTCCTCTCCAGATCTGTGAAGAATTTTGATGGGACCTTGATGGAGATTACATTGAATCTATAAATTGCCTTTGGTAGAATTGCCATTTTTACTATGTTGATCCTCCAATCCAAGAGCAAGGGAGATCCTTCCATTTTCTGGTATCCTCTTCAATTTCTTTCTTCAATGCCTTAAAGTTCTTGTCAAATAGATCTTTTACTTCCTTGGTTACAGTTACCCCAAGATATTTTATGCTGTTTGTGGATATCGTGAAAGGTGATGCTTCTTTGATTTCCCTCTCTGCTTCCATATCCTTTGTGTATAAGAGGGCGACTGATTTTTTGGAGTTGATCTTGTATCCTGCCACATTACTAAAGGTTTTTATCAGCTGTAGGAGTTCTTTGGTGGAGTTTTGGGGGTCGCTTATGTACACTATCATATCATCTGCAAATAACGAAAGTTTAACTTCTTCCTTTCCAATTCGGATCCCCTGATCCCCTTATGTTGTCTTACTGCTATTGCTAAAACTTCCAGCACTATATTGAAGAGATATGGAGAGAGTGGACAGCCTTGTCATGTTCCTGATTTTAGTGGGATGGCTTTGAGTTTCTCTCCATTTAATTTGATGTTAGCTGTCGGTTTGCTGTATATAGCTTTTATTATATTTAGGTATGACCCTTGTATCCCTAATCTCTCCAAGACTTTTATCATAAAGGGATGTTGAATTTTGTCAAATATTTCTTCAACATCCAATAAAATGCTCATATGGTTTTTTCTTTCAGCTTATTTATATGATGGAGTATATTGATAGATTTTCGTATGTTGAACCAGCCCTGCATCTCTGGGATGAAGCCTACTTGATCATAATGGATAATTTTTCTAATGTGTTTTGGATTCGGTTTGCCAGTATTTTGTTGAGAATTTTTGCGTCGATGTTCATGAGTGAGATTGGCCTGTAATTCTCTTTCTTGGTGGAGTCTTTGTGTGGTTTTGGTATCAGAGTAACTGTAGCTTCATAAAAGGAATTTGGCAATGACTCTTCTTTTTTTATATTGTGAAAAACATTAAGGAGTATAGGTATTAGGTCTTCTTGGAAGTTCTGGTAGAATTCCGCATTGAAACCATCTGGTCCTGGGCTTTTTTTGGTAGGGAGGTTTTTGATAACAGCTTCTAATTCTTCGCGACTAACAGGTCTTTTTAGATTGTTCACCTGGTCCTGGTTTAACTTTGGTATATGGTATTTATCTAAAAAAGTGTCCATTTCTTTTACATTTTCCAGTTTTGTGGCATACAGGCTTTTGTAGTAAGATCTAACGATTCTCTGAATTTCCTCTGTGTCTGTGGTTATGTCCCCCTTTTCATTTCTGATCCTATTAATTTGCATATTCTCTCTCTGCCGTTTGATTAGTTTGGATAGGGGTTTGTCGATCTTGTTGATTT